TTATCTAGCTCATTGTTCTCTTCATTTTTTTGATATTTTGAGATCATATATTTCAGAAATTGATTTCTTGTTCTTTTTGATGTAATTGAGTTTAAAGTCAATTTCCAGAAATAGGTTTTTGAAATAAACAGTGGTGATTCTTTTGAATCAAACCATTCTTAAAACAAACCCAAAAATTACAATTTTTTTATAATTTTAAATTATTTTCATAAAATTGAAAAGGACCCCAATTGCAAATAAATCACTGAACTGAATTTATAGAAAATTGAAAATAACTGAATGTATGATTTCCGTAAAAAAAACTATTCAAAATAATTTCTTTCACTATATTGTGAATCAATTATTAAGTTATATGAATTGTTAAGAACCCCAGTTGGATAAAATATCTTTAATTTAGTTTTCTTTTTGCCACATTTAATTCGAAGACATTAGAGGGTATATTAGCGTGTCATGTGTCTTAAGGAATCAACATGATCATAATTTCTTCTTACAGCATTTTATTTTTATTTTCATTTGGCAGGTAAAGCATCTCTGCTACACTGACTAATAACAATCAGCTTTATGTTTAATGATAATTGTCTTGACTGGCATAACAAACGTCTTATTGTTTTTATTGTCATTTTTCCATTAAGTCAAACCCTAGGTAGCTCACGGTAAAAAGAAATAGAAAAAAATGCACCTACAGTAGAATAAAAATTATCATGGTATTTCTTAATATCTTTGTGGTATTATTACAGATCAATCATAATAAGTCTGAATACCATCTACATAACAGATAAGACACAGCGTTAAAATAGAGATTGAATAGGAATACAATTATTAAATTAATTATCCAATTATTTAAGACGAATCTTTTGTCCATAAAACTTAAATTTATTTTAAATTGCCCTTTTCTCAGTGGGTAAAACTAAAGCTTCTTTCAATTATGTAAATGTTTCAAATTCATGGACATGTTTTACAGGAAATATTAAATGCTGTCTGTGTTGGTGACTATCTTGGCATATTGAAAACTGTGTCAACAGGTTCTGAATAAAATTAAAATTCAAAGAAAATTATATGGATTATTTCATTATTTTCAGCAATTGCAAAATTTCTCCTAGTAGGATACCGGTATAATTTTTTATGTAAATTTTAATACAAAGAGGAACCAATAATTTTTTTAATATTTAGAGACATATGAAATGGGGCCTTTATAGACTGCCCTTTCAACCTATGACCTAATTCCAATTTTGGAATATGTCCTCATGTTTTAAATACTCTGCAGTGAGGAGAGAAGACACAACACAATTTTATGGAAAACTAACTTAAGGTAGGTTGGGATTGAAAAAACTGGCCACCATCTTCAATTCAGAAAATGCATTTTATTTCCTTGAATTTTCTTTAAAATTTAGATATTTATATTAGTTTCATCTCGATGAAGTGTTCATTACCTTTAAGGCTTTATATTTGTCATCACGCTGTGTGCCTTTCTTTTTGTGGCACAGCTGTACTGTACCCCATTATGCACTCTGCTGACCAAAGCTTTATACAAATGTTTATATATGAATTAAAGGAGATTCGAGGTTGAAGGGCAATAAGGCAGCATCCAAACGTCACAAAAAACCTGTAAATTCTGAAATTATACCGATGATTTTATTATTGCAAAAATTGCGCTCGCATAGGTTTCACAAAAAAGTTAAAAAAATCGCAATTAAATTTTGATAACATTATTTGTATACATCATTTCCTCAAATCGTAATAATAAATCTCACATTTTTGTCAATTGTTCAACCATCGCAATAATTAATTCACACAAAAATTTCTAAATTTACAATAGTCTTCAACAATTGACAGGTGTCTGTACAATATACATGTAAAGCACTAATACATCCCAAGTCTATATAAGTTAGGAATAATTTCAAATGAAACCATCAAAGATCTTCCATCAAAACCAAATTCTCCAAATAACATGAACATAATTAAGACATAAGACGGCAACTGACATGGTGCCTGCGACTAATTTCACAAAAAAATCTTACGAATAAAACACTCGTTAGTCATGAACATTTCAGTATAACTTACAATCTATTTTAGTCTGTAGATTTTTTGTAAAAAGAGCCCCTGACTAGGAACATGCTTATGTTGCAGGATTGTTCATAAACTTGGTTATTTTTTTTTTCTTTTATCAATAAGATATATTGAAAAGGAGAGCCATCAATTGAATTAATAATCAATGCATATTATGTAGTGACAGATATAGTGAATAAGATCTTTATAGATTTTTTATCTAAATTCTGGAAAATAATGAACAATGATCGGAGCAATAAAGATATAGTGTAATTCACAACTCAATAAAGATACACTTTGACGATCAAATCTTTGATAAGATTAACAGGATTTAGATTTGACTTTTGTGATAACCATATTTAAAGGTCTAGCGATAGCTATGCTGCATTGACGAATCAACAAGAAAAAGGTGTAGCTATTGATCTTACTCAATCAACCATTCTATATTATACAATTACTATTCAGCGCTGCTTTTAATTGGAATCACGATGACAGAATTTTTAGAATTGTGTCTTTTATCTTGGAAAATAAGATTATGTCTGTCTTTGTTTGTTTTTATCTTCATTTCTTGTAGAAATTTCTCATTTATGACAAATTTTATATTGTTTACTGCAGAAGCAGAGAAGAATTTTTTCAGCAGTGTATTTCAAAACTGATTTCTACAAAAACATTTTTAGAACTTTTTCGTATAAACATGAAAAATAGATAACTATATAGTGTGTTCTATGAAAAAAACATTTCCCTATCTACTACAGAAAAAATGGGCCTGCATTTTAAAATTATAAAAAAATATAAAAAGGATTTCAAATAAATTCAATATTATATTAAAATAGGATATGAAGTCTTATTTATTAAGGTATTGGTCCATGTTAACAAAAACTAAAGGAAAGATAAAGGCAAAATATTTTCTATTTTTAATAGTTAGGGCCTTTATTTTTTTGGAAAAAACTATGTAATTGTATAGTATCTATTCATCATGCCATGGTTAGGATCTTAATTTCTTGAAATATTCTATGTAATTCCATGGTTTATCATAAAATTTTCCATGACTTAATCCCCTTATTTCTTGAAATTTTACAAAAATCATCTACTAATGGTAAAATCACAGTCTTCTAATAAAATATTTTTCAAGTAATTTAATTGCACATTCTGTATGACTTTGTCATTTAACAGAAGTCAGTGTACTGCTTAAGTCTTGCATTGATGCAAAAGATGATTCATAACTTTATTATACTTCAAAAATAAATAAAATAAAACACCAACCCAAATTAGAATGAACTTATACTTAGAATTATGATACACTATTAGAGAAATATTTATCACTTTTCAAGGCTTTAATTATTTCATCGAATAGATAACTTTATCCTGCATTTAACAAACCCATTTATAATATAATCATTTAATATTAAATCAATCTTTTTAGACAATAAATATGATGAAAGAAAAAAAATTCTATTAAATAAAAGGAAAGAAAACAGTACACATATTCTTCACAGATAATTTAGAGTTAATCACAGTTTTTCATAGTGTCTGAAATTTCTTTGAACTAACAGACAATTTGTCAGAATTTCTATAAAAGTTATAGCCTAGACGGACTGCCGTTATTTTAACGGATTATTATACCGCAAAAGATGTCTCTTTAATTATTAAAAATGATGAAATGGACACCTCCATAGTAACAAAATCAATTCCCTAACGTTTTCAATAACCATTTTTTTGTGAGAATGAAAACAAATTAAGGTGGTGCATAGGACTCAATTACTCCTGAATGTTGGGGCCTTTTAACCTCAGCGACACTCAATCTTGTCTTTCTATGAATAATTTACGCTGCACATCCAAGAAAATTTCAGTAAGATCCCAATTAACTATGTCAATGATCAGCCATTTTTGTATATGTTAGACAAACACGTTATTGACAGGATAGAAATGAGATGTTATTAAAATTTAAGATTTAATGATCGTCTTGTCAGAAAAGATGTTGACAGCATCTTAATTCATTTTCAGTCCTTTTCATCTTCTCAACTTGTATTTCATGTTTTTTGTTTTTACAAATTTTTCTCAAGTTTCTGTCTAAAAGACGAAGTAATTATTTTTCTTTGACTATTAGAAAGAGTTTAATATCTGTGCTGTCAGAATTTGGTGCTTCATCATTTAAGTTTAGATGAAAAGTACGTTACTTATTACCAAAAACAGTTCATACCATTGATTTACATCTTTGAAAAGTGTTTATTAAATTTGGGAATATAAAGCCCTTTAGTTTCAGAAAAAAATTGACATACATTGCACATGGTTATTTTACTTTCACTTCATAAGAAATGCAGTAATTTAAATTTCTGCCGCATCAATGCAAAATTGCAGGATATGCAGTCAAATCGTGTTGTGTGGCAAATAATTTTTACCAGCAAGAGCTATAGGTCAAAAGAACCCTATGATTAAACATAAGAAAGAGGAAAAAGCTTTTTCCGCCAGGGATAATTAACACAAGTGTCATTCAAATATAATCTAGATATTTGAATTTGCAGAAATTTTTAAAATTCATTGAAGAAATATTTTGCTTCTTCACTATTTTTCCCCAAGGACATTTGACTCAGCACTCAGAATTTTATTTTTCAAAAGCCCTACTGATCTGATAAACTTTAGTCAACTATATTGACTGCAGTATGCAAGTAAAATGAAGACATCTGATTTGTAATGTATGGATATCAAACTAAGAGTATATTAGCAGATGTTTGTTTTTCCGAATGTGTTATATATTCTATTATTAAGACTTTTTTCCACAAAATTGATTTTTCAAATTACAAAAATAGCAAGAATGCTTTCTTTAAAGTACCTATATTTGAATATATCACTTGATTATTTACAAAAAAGATGTCTAAAACTGGCAGTTTATTTTTATTTATTTTGTTAAATTTCTTATTTTTCGTCATGATTTGTACTTTTCATTCTTTCTTCAGTAAATCCATACTTAAAGATTAAAACTGAGCCTAAAACAAGTACCTGCTGTGGTCCTACTATACCCAACAGTATACAGAAAGTGAACAGCACATCTAAGTATGACTACGGAGAGAGACGATATCTCACAGGAAGTGATCACACTCCATCATCACCATCGGGGTCGGTGTGCTCATCATCGTCAGGAAAGGAATCTTCCAGTCTGTCACCTTGCAGTAAAGACGTTTCACAATATTCTAATGGGACAGATTCATCATGCACCTACATGAACAGATCACCTGAAAGGTTTGTTATTACTGGGCAGTGGGAATTAGATTAGGGGTACCTACATGAACTGACCACCTGAAAGGTTTGTTATTACTGGGCAGTGGGGATTAGAGTAAGGGTACCTTCATGAACTGATCACCTGAAAGGTTTGTTATTACTGGGCAGTGGGGATAAGAGTAAGGGTACCTACATGAACTGATCACCTGAAAGGTTTGTTATTACTGGGCAGTGGGGATTAGAGTAAGGGTACCTACATGAACTGATCACCTGAAAGGTTTGTTATTACTGGGCAGTGGGGATTAGAGTAAGGGTACCTACATGAACTGATCACCTGAAAGGTTTGTTATAACTAGGCAGTGGGGATAAGAGTAAGGGTACCTACATGAACTGATCACCTGAAAGGTTTATTATTACTGGGCAGTGGGGATTAGAGTAAGGGTACCTACATGAACAGATCACCTGAAAGGTTTGTTATTACTGGGCAGTGGGAATTAGATTAGGGGTACCTACATGAACTGACCACCTGAAAGGTTTGTTATAACTAAGCAGTGGTGATAAGAGTGAGGGTACCTACATGAACTGATCACCTGAAAGGTTTGTTATAACTAAGCAGTGGTGATAAGAGTGAGGGTACCTACATGAACTGATCACCTGAAAGGTTTGTTATAACTAAGCAGTGGTGATAAGAGTGAGGGTACCTACATGAACTGATCACCTGAAAGGTTTGTTATAACTAAGCAGTGGTGATAAGAGTAAGGGTACCTACATGAACAGATCACCTGAAAGGTTTGTTATTACTGGGCAGTGGGGATTAGAGTAAGGGTACCTACATGAACAGATCACCTGAAAGGTTTGTTATTACTGGGCAGTGGGGATTAGAGTAAGGGTACCTACATGAACAGATCACCTGAAAGGTTTGTTATTACTGGGCAGTGGGGATAAGAGTAAGGGTACCTACATGAACAGATCACCTGAAAGGTTTGTTATTACTGGGCAGTGGGGATTAGAGTAAGGGTACCTACATGAACTGATCACCTGAAAGGTTTGTTATTACTGGGCAGTGGGGATAAGAGTAAGGGTACCTACATGAACTGATCACCTGAAAGGTTTGTTATTACTGGGCAGTGGGGATAAGAGTAAGGGTACCTACATGAACTGATCACCTGAAAGGTTTGTTATTACTGGGCAGTGGAGATAAGAGTAAGGGTACCTACATGAACTGATCACCTGAAAGGTTTGTTATTACTGGGCAGTGGGGATAAGAGTAAGGGTACCTACATGAACTGATTACCTGAAAGGTTTGTTATTACTGGGCAGTGGGGATAAGAGTAAGGGTACCTACATGAACTGATCACCTGAAAGGTTTGTTATTACTGGGCAGTGGGGATAAGAGTAAGGGTACCTACATGAACTGATCACCTGAAAGGTTTGTTATTACTGGGCAGTGGGGATAAGAGTAAGGGTACCTACATGAACTGATTACCTGAAAGGTTTGTTATTACTGGGCAGTGGGGATAAGAGTAAGGGTACCTTCATGAACAGATCACCTGAAAGGTTTGTTATAACTGGGCAGTGGGGATTAGAGTAGGGTACCTTCATGAACAGATCACCTGAAAGGTTTGTTATAACTGGGCAGTGGGGATTAGAGTAGGGTAACTTCTTGAACAGATCACCTGAAAGGTTTGTTAATTACTGGAGGGATTAAAGTAGTGAGTGAGTGGGTGGGAAATGGTTGAAAAATAAGATTATGTGATTTCATCATCTATTTACATTAACAGATAATCCTTATTATTTTTACTATTGCAAGAGTTACCTCCCATATCACTCAGGTATATTACAAGAATGCATGATTGGAGAATAATACATGTATTTATTATTATTTATAAAACAATTCTTTCGTATATCATATTAAGATTGTTGTCTGTGATCATTCATTCATTTTTTTTTAATTTGATCTTCTTGCCATTAAAATACTTTTGGCAATGGGAGACAACTCATTATCAAATGAAAATTAAACTTTGAAAAAGGTAAAAGATAAGTTAAGTACAAACCATAATTACTTACTTTTTGTTGATATTTCACTGTGAAAGTTTGATGTAGAAATGTATCTATGAAGAAAAGGAAAGTAGGGGTAAATGTCAGTGAAACAGCAATTAAGCAAACAAAAATAATGAGAAATTCATCTTTATTGTTCGTATCTAAAAGGAAGATTTTCAGGAGTAAATTTGATAAATTCTCTCAAAAAGTTGAAATGGAATATCTGATGGGTTCATAAAAAAAGTTTATAAAAAAATCACCTGTGATTACTCATAGAAGATAGAAATGGTATGGTCACTGCTAGTAACTGGTCTTTTATCATATTTTAATGCCAACCGAAATTGACTATAGAAATAGAGCAAACTCTAAACCAGATGATCTAGCAAATTTTAATGCACAAATTTATATTTTTTGCCTAAAAAAAGATAAAAATAGCTGACTTTACCTACTGTATGAATTTCATACAAGCTTACATACATGTATATAACTTTGTTATATATTGCACACTGTATTTCATTTTTGGATTTTTGCTTGAGATTTGATAAATATTTGTTTATTAGGTTGACAGAGTAGGCCTGTTGTTTAATTGTCTTTATTTTAAAGAGGGTTGGGTAATAAGTGAACCAAAGCCTCTCCTGGATGTACATAATATGTATAGTATAATGTTTAGATTTATTCACTGACTGAATTGTTTAACTTCTTTTAAGATTATTCAAGAAAAAAGTTAAGAATAGAACTCTTGTTATGTCTGAATATGTGTTGTGTTTATAATTATTGTCACCATCTTAGGCTTTTAATGCATACAAAACAAATGGTATTATCTCTTGTACACTTAAGAAACTTGAAGGATTTCTGATCAATAGAAACTCCATTGTGTTTGAAGACATTAAATTGGAACATATTTTCAACACTTAACATGCAATCTACCTTTAATAATTTTCGTTGTCAAGTTATGCTTTTTGTTGTCATGGCAACAAGAGGATGAAAGGTTGTCAGTTTCAGAAATAAATTTGATGTCACATTGTTACGAGGATGTCATATTTCATTGTGAAACTGACATACCTGGCTTCTGAGAGAAATGAATGTGGATTTCGCATGTGTATTTACAGTTAACGACCTGGTATTTACTTAATGGTTACAAGCTTTTGGTGACAAAATGAAAGTTAATGGACCAAAGTGGGAAACAACTTAGTGAAATATTGCATGCATTTTTATAATAATATTTGAGAAAACAATTTGTGGTAGGGAATATTACTCTATTTTCACTTTCTTTTATAAATGTAATGATTTTCTTAAAGAGAAGCAATTGTCTTTAAAAATATATAAATCAAAGCATGATTACCAATAGAAAATTTACCTTAAAAATGTTTATACTAATAGAAAACACTATACCTTGATGGATGTTAATAAAAGGAGGCATGCGACTCATTTATAAATTGAAAGAAACAATATTTTTAGAACTTTCTAAACAATTGAGTCATAAAATGTAAATTTGGCTGAAATAAATACCAGTTTTCCTGAACTACAAAATCATTATTTAATCCATTCGCCTTAGTTCATTAATTTCAGAGCATAAGATTTCTATAAAAAGAGTGTTAGATTATAAAGGGATTTTACCATAATTTTACAGCTAATTCAAGTAATTGTAATGTTTTAATAAGACAACTCTTTGTATCATCTTTTGCTACTTTGAGTGAAAAAGAAGGGTATCTTTTTCCTAGAGTTCATGAATATATGTTTCACTGGAAAATTATAACTTCTGGTCAAAACAAAATTTCATTAGAAAATCTATAATAATACTACAAAAATTCTCCAAATTTTACCTAACATTCTGTCCAGTAAAAATATCGATTCAGTGGTCCAGCAAGGGTTTTAATTTTACTAGATTTCAATGTTGGACTGGTGTCCTTATGGAACTCTGCATATCATCTATTTTTGCCAGTGTATCATGGTAGCTTTGTTTTTTTCTCCATCATTTTAATTAAGTTCACCTTTGAAATTATAATTAATTGGCTGGATTTGGCTTTTATGTTTAGGTCCTTTTTGTTCATATATCTCTTCAACTGTTTCGATTCTTATACATCCTTGGCTTTCAAATATTTGGCTTTCAGCGTTCCTCATGAAGGTAAATCCAGAAAAGGACTTTGGACGCATAAAATTTATAAAGTGTTGTTTTAATTTTTTTTGGAGTTCACTTCTTTGAAATTTTGATATTTTTCCGTTTCGATATGATTTGATTTTGAACAGTCTGTTGATGAAAATAAATGCAATGTTTAAGTGCCTGATTGTGGATTAATGGATTGTGAATGTATTTTACATTTATTATGAAGCCATAACGATTAACAAAAAATATTTCGATCAGTAATTGTTGATCAAAAACTATTGGCTGCTAATTAACTTTGAGGTTATTGCTAAAGGTTACACATGGTGACCTTGACAAACATTCAACACAGAATTAAGGAGTAAGTGTTTAATAAATGATATAATAGATATTTGTAAACCTTGTCATACCAGTTGTTAAATGATTTTGTGTTTTAAATTTTTTCTTTAAGAATCAGACACTTCTATATCCTTTCCAGGTTTGTTTACTTTTCCATCACTTGTGCTGTGTGATGGACGAATTTCTATGACTGAGTGTTTAAGGGTCACTGATCAAGGAAAAGCTGTCCGCAGATTAGAGTACGGGAAGACAATAATTCAATAGAAGTACATTTATGGGGATTTGGATAAAATAAAGGATTTTCTTTTATAAGAAACTCTATATGCACTTGTTTTATAGTAAAACTTCCATTCGAGTATATAAAACAAATTGATCTTCTTTAAATGTAAACTTTAGTTATAAACATTTTTTTCTCTACAGAGTTCCAAGACCAAGCTCAGCACCACAGAAGGGTTATTTCTCACCTGATCCACAGACCAATTATTGTCGTCTTATGTCCACGACGTATGCTCATCATTTCTTCAAGCAAGAGTTGTATGATAGAAGCTATGATATTTCTAGGAATCATGGATATTCACAGTTGCCTTCTTCACAAACACCTACAATTAAGCAGGAACCGAGGGAATTTACATTTGACAATGGTAAGTTCACTCTTTAGAAGATAATTGCTCAGCTAAATTTTATTTAGATGAAAAAATAGTAACTCGGTTATTTTTGTACCGAAGTTGCTAAAAAAAAATTATTATTCAATTTTGCTGTAAAAAACTTTAAATCTTTCCCCAAACTGTATCCTAATTGTGTAAATTTTGTCAGTGATATAACATGAATATTTGCAGTCAGGACATATGTACTTACAACAAATGTTAGCCAACTAAGATGACAAAAGATTTCTTATCCTTAGATGTATTGTTATGTCTAAGCTATGTGGCTAACAAGGGTGTTAAGTTTTATGTCTGCACTTGAATCTGTATGTCCTGTTTTATCCAGTACATTTAATTAGCATTGATTTGTAATTTTGTCAATGACAATTTTGACATGTTTCACATTGTTGTTCCTGAATAATGTGGACAATAGTCAAATTTGATGTTTCTTTCAATAACTTAGGTTAGCTTTATTATTTGAAATTTAGTAATGTCAAGAAAAACCATAAAAAAGCAGATAAGGTTTGGCTTTGATGTGTCCCACTTCTATTCTTCCTGAGTTATGTCCCTTGATTATTTTATCGCTTTTGGTTTCCCTTCTGAAAGAGGTGAGTTCTTGTGTGTTTTTGGTGTGGCTTATCATCAGTTTTCTGTGAAATGTTCCTGACAACTATAATTGGTCCTTTCTTCCAATTTCCATTGGTCATATGACGTCTGTCCTCCTCCCATTAATGACCTCAATTGCTCCCTTAGTTTCGTTTTCCTTTAATCTATCAAATAATTTAGCAATGATATAATGATGGAAATATCATGTCTGTTCAACAGTTGACTGTTTGTTGGCCAGAAGTTTTTTGTTTTAAATTTGTGTTATAAAATGCATTTTTAAATTTCATCTATTTCATTTTTACATAACAATAACACAACTTACACATGTATACAATACCAAAACGTTGTTAATGTAGTAGACAATAAAATCTGTTGAAGGGAGACAAACAAAGAGGTGAATCATAGAATTGTCTGTTATATATATGTATTAACTTTTTATGAAATTGTAGGTTTTCCTTGTCCCTACGACAATCCAATGAGATTTTTCTGTCACGAGTCAGCTGACTCATCCTATTTAGAAAGGTTTAGAGAAAAACACAGGGAGCGATTTGAAGGTTTGTTGATTTTTGTTTAAGAAAAGAAATATAAAAAACTGAACATTCTAAGGCAGATTTTCTACTGGATTAGAAAATTTCTTACTGTTGGTTACTTATATATCCCCCTTACATCAAAGTCAACAACATCAAAATTAACCCCCTTAAGCCAACATCATATATTTATTATACATAATCACTATTACAAGAAATTGGTCTCTTTTGATTTTCAAGGTCAGGGGTCAGAGGTCAAGAAAATGTTGAGACTGTAGATCCGTTTCACAATAAAGACTTAGCAAAACTTCATCAAACTTGGGATGAGACAGTAACTATTTCCATTTTTTTAAAGTCAAGGTATGAGCAAGGGTCAAGGTTAAAAAAAGAACAGGACATAAAAACAATTCCAACAATATAATTTCATCAATAGTTTCTTTCATTTTATAGTATGTTTTCACCCTTTTAATTCTGTTCGAAATTACTGCCAAAAATAGCTTAACTTTCAAGGTAATTGAGGTAAAAAGGGAGTAAATGGAAATATTTGAATAAAAGTAATATATTTTCATTACAATAAATATACTAGAGAAAACTGCAATATTATTTAGTGTACTGGACAAATTTGCCACTTCAGAATCAAAAGGACTATTGGAAATTTCATTGTTTGTACCCTGAAATGAAAAAAAACATCATTATTATAAGACATTTTAATTCTTAATTTTCTTGATTTTTGTAAAAATGATTGTAATTTTTATCGTTTCCCATCTGAAACTGCAATCAGCTGTTGCAGAGTTTCTATATCCCAAAGGCTCATAACAAATAACTTCATACTGAATTTGTATGCTGTTCGCATCAGTAACAAATGTTTCTGGTGACAAAAAAGGAGTTTGATTAGCTAATTTAAATAAGAATAAAATAAAACACAATCAAGATCCAGTTTGATGTCTTATTTAAACAGAGTCAGGAGACTTTATCTAGTAATAGTTTCCTAATCACAGGCATCCCTACCAGAAAAATCAACTCTAATTAACTCCCAAGTGAAAAGCTGCGGCTGATCAAATTCAATTAGAATTAACACCATCCTTTTACGTTTGGGATCAAAAACTCTTCGGCAACACTGTACGTAAATCCAATTTGTAATTAAGTTGACCACTGGAAGAATTTTGAGTTGATCTTTTAAGAATAATGAGACCTTAATCCTGTTTGATGAAAAAATCTCGGGAAGCTATCGATGTGCTGGAATGGTTGACATCTCGTTAGCGGATGGGTATTATCTGATAGGCAAAGGTCAGTTGTATGTCTGACTTTGTTACCTATGTGAAAAGGTTAAGAAGATTTGACAGAAAAGAAATGATACAATTCTTGTAAAGAAAACAGAAATGGATGTTCAATTGTCTGAATATGTTAATAGGAAAAAAAGTTTGAAAACTATAAGACTTTAAAAAATTTTCAGTCCGATTTTTCTTTCACTTTTAAAATGTCAAAAAAGAGAGATGACAGTAGTGGACAAATGTGGGACTTAAATAGTAAGATGAAAAGGATGAAATTATAAAATGCATAATCTCCAAAAGTTAAAAGTCTTAAAATGTGAATACCAAAAAAAGGGGAGAAAGATGCCAAGTGACCAATCAAATTCCACAAGTTAAAGAAAGCCAATAAAACACCATGGTCAAATGAAAAACAACTGTCCACAAAACAATACAGAAATCTAAAGATTGGGCAATATTGGAGATTATCCCAAAACTAAGGGTGTACTCAGTTGCTCTGGAAGGGTACGCAGTTTAAAGTTTTATTGACTTTTTATATATCAAGTAGTATACACATGTAAATATGTTTATAAAAGGAGGGGGAATTTATGTTTTATTGGTTCTTAATACAGTGGCTATAATTCATTATATTTCATAGAGAAGTTTCAGCATTAAGCTGAATGTAAATATTATCTGTTTTGAATAGATTTTTTACACATTTGATTTAAAAAAAAAATCATCTTTGTAAGTATGATTTTTTAGGGGGGAAACAACATTTATACTAGAAATGGCAACTTTTGTTTTAAGATAAATAGAATTTGGGAAATTAGTTTTTATTTCCTTACCGAGATATTCTACAAAAAATCAATAGACCATGAATTATTCATGAAATTTTACAATAGGTGATCAGGAGTTGATTTTTGTCAGTCGTTACTTTATCTTTTCTTGTTTGAATAAAGCCCATATTGACGTAGAATTAGCGATAATTTTTCTTTTGATAATGAAAATGTCATCGGTAGCACACAGAAAAATGATGTACAAACTTTATAATTATTTTTGTATTCACTTAGTGGTAGTTGGATTATTATCATGATGGGCAAATTGATATTAAGTTTTACTACTACAATTCATCAAAAACATGTCGCAGAGTAATTTTACAAACATGTACCGTCTACACCGGATATGGTTCGGGTCATAAAATATACTTCTTTAATATTTATGTTACAGCAACCAAATGAAAGTTCTGCTAATTGAGTACTTTTGGGTCAAATTACTTTTTTGTTTTTGTTTTAACCTCTATACTATTTCACCATCTTTTAATATTGATTTTATTTAATTTTTATCATGGTTATTTTTTTATTCTCCTTGTCAAAAATTTATGTTTCTAAATTTATGAAAAAACAGACATGCTTATGAAATAACTTTATTGTGAAAAGCCCATAATTCATTACGAGAGTTCTTTTATTGCTTATTAACAGTTATGAAATTATTTAAAATTTCAAGATATGTTATCTTTTATTATTCACTATACACAAGTTTAATATATAAATAACGAGGTGTGGTATGATTGCCAATGAGACAACTATCCACCAGAGATCAAATGAAAGGTTTTCAAAGTTGAGAGTAATGCCTAGTTAACCCTCATAATTATAAATATATTTTTGAAATTGTATGTTTAAAAAAATGTAAAATAACAAAAATATCGAACTCCAAGGAAAATTCAAAATAGAAAGTCCCTTATCAAATGGCAAAATAAAAAAATACACTTTTGGTAAAATATTTTAGACAGTCTTAGACAGGATGTATTATTGTATACCTTAGTCCAACTGTCTAGCTGTACCTCTGTCTGTCCATCTGTCAACTTTGTACAATAACTTAAATTTGCTTTAACTAATTGTCATCACAACATAAGAATTGACTGGGGTCATTTTTTAATGTAAAAAGTTTTGTTGTGTTGTTCCAAAGTTAGGACTTAAACCATCAGATTTAAGGCACTAACTCCATTATGCTTGGAAAACTTTACACTATTGTTTTCTGGAAGTATGAGGAACATTATTTGGTTTATATTCTGTCAGCATTGTACAATAAGATAGGGATACGTATATATTAAAATAGGTTAATCTGGGAACATACAAAAAAATGAATAATTGAAATATAATTATAAATTAGAAAAAATTATCTGTAAATCATATTCTCAGGAGCCTGTTCAGTGGTTGTCGTCTGTTGTTGTGATTCATAAGTGTTTCTCGTTTTTTATATAGATTAGACCGTTGGTTTTCCCGTTTGAATGGTTTTACACTAGTCATTTTGGGGCCCTTTATAACTTGCTGTTTGGTGTGAGCCAAGGCTCTGTGTTGAAGGCCATACTTTGACCTTTAATTGTTTACTTTTTACACATTGTGACTTAGATGGAGAATTGTCTCATTGCCACTCATACCACATCTTCTTATTTTCTATCTTTTAATTTTAAATAAGTCATGACAAAAGATATGTTAAGTATACATTCATTTTATTTTGTATTTTGAAATAATCACTATCACAGTTTTACAATTTTTACTTAATCGTTTTTTTTTTACCGTTAATTCTTAATTGATAATTATTTGCTGTAAAATCTACCCTATTATTCAGTTTGAACATCATGACTTTAATCATGAATTGTGTATTCTACCTTGCTGTTCATTTGAACGTCAGAATTTTTATTCATTTTGACCAAATCATCCCTGTAATGTTAAATTTTGTACAATAGATTGAATCTTTTATTATTGTAAGATCCTAGGTTGATAGCCGTTTTCACCATTCAAACTGTAGCATCGTCCTTGATCAAAGAGACTTCCGTTGTACTTTCGTTCTATTGTGCTTGGTTGTAATAACGCCGTGTTAGTTAGTGTAATTAATTTTTGATTATCTGAGTTAATAGTCTTATTAATGCAGTCAGGGCTTTCACCGCATAAACAGTTAACCATTGTTCATTTTCTTAAATTAGCCTACAATTCTGTTCAGGATCGACTATTTACAAAATAATTACCGTCATTTTGTATAATTTTGACAAAATCATATATTCTAAATCACTGGAATTTGAATTTCTATTCTTCTAAAATGGTCGTTAGATTTCGTAATGGTTGGAATTTACAAGGAAAACAGAATGAAGGTTATTACAATACATCTATTATGTTGCAATTTTTCTTCTAGCTTGCTTCTAAATTTTCGATAATTATACAAAATACTAGATAATTTATTTTTTTTTGAAATCAAAGATTTAATGTTTACATTAGAGGATAATTTGTCTTTTTCCCACGTTAAATCTGAATTGTTCATATGTAAGTGATCAAGAATATATATTGTATTTTATACTATTCAAATTACAAAAGCAACAATTGTTATAAAAACCACAAATTAAAATTTCATGTATCATCCTTGTATGTATCAAGTTTCTTTGGTACTTCATTGTTATATCACCTTTATATAAGTTGATTGATTGATGTTTGCTTAATGTCCAGTGGCAAATATTTCATGCATGTTCAGGATGAGAACAAATTGACAATTTATACATTACATAGGGTCTATAATAGGGGGTCAACTCTGACGAAGGGAGGAAAATTTGGAATGCCTATTGAAAATGAGGATATATTGGATAGACACAGAAGCCTTGTAATAGCCCACCTATGGACAGCACAGAGAGTTGTTGCAAGGGTTCTTAATATGCAGTGATCGTGGCACTCTCTCTACACGAGACATTTATATAGAGCCATTTTATTTGCTACTGATAAATTTTATATTGCAACAATTTCAATATGCACAATAAGGGTGTATCACTCCCTCTTGATGTAGCTGCTTATTTAAACATACCAAGGAAATATGAATATATTGGAAAAAAGTAAAATCACAAAAATACCTAACTCCGAGGAAAAATCAAAACGGAAAGTCCCTAATCAAATGGCAAAATCAAAAGCTCAAACACATCAAACGAATGGATAACAATTGTCATTTTCCTGATTTGGTCCAGGCATCTTCTTATAATTGGAAAGATTGGAGTAATGGTACCGGTACAACCTTTGGTACACTTGCTGGAATTATACTGTCCAATTTGTTCAGAAAAATATGCAGCCACATCTGTAGCCATTTGCCATTCTAAGTGGGGTTAAGGTTGACCAACAACAAAAAATTTGTAATGGGTTACGCAGAATCCTGTGCCTCACCTGCGATTGCTGCTGTGAGTGTAAAACTGTAATGTAGACTTCAAAAAGGAGTCCATTGAATCTAAAGATTTTTTTTTTTGTGTTTGAATTAATATTCAGCAAGTTATATAATGCCATTTTTTATCACTACATGAATTTCCTTTCCTTCAGAGTATGCAAAAAAATCTTACTAACTTTTTCAATTGCGCATAGAAATTTGTAGTTGGTATAATTTGTTCTATCAACAATGAGACAAACAAAACTCAAACATGCATTATTCTAGTATTCACGACCATATTTGTCACATTTAACAAGCAAACTCCCCACGGAGAACATATTCAATATTTCTTATTTCATTAGGACTAGGGATCAACCTCTTTATTAATTGAGCATCGTAAAGTGTGGAAAATTGCATTTTAAAATGCCAAAGAGCAAACAGTTTAGGTCCCGAGGGCTAGTTCTATGATTGAGAGTCAATTAGTTTGTTGATCAAACGTATGTTTGATAAGGGATTATTGTTGATCTATTAGCTTAATCCAATTCTACACTTAATTGAATAAAATTATTAGTTGTTAATCAAAAGTTTTCTCTCCCTTTATTATATTAGTTAGTAATTCGTCTATTTGAGGTGAAAATCTTGCTTTGAATGCTCAATGAAGTAGTTGTTTTTAAATAAAAGCTCTGGAAAATGTGCATGGAAAGTTACTCTAGTGTAAATCAAAGATAAGGATAAAGAAAGCTTGATGTCAATACATTAAGATATTAAGAAAATATAATTTTTAATGATTTTTTTTACCAATTATGAGGTAGGATGAATTGGAAGTGTGGAGTATAAGCCAACTGACACAATTAACAAAAAAAAAGATTTTTGTTTCCTTTAGTCCAGTATTAATTAAAAGACATTTAGAGGTCAAAATACAGTCTTCAACAATAGCCAAGTGTTTATACAAAGTGCCACCCTCTAAATCACACAGTCTCAAAAAGATGTGAATTGATTTATCAGACTGTTATCTTTTTTGCTGTTACATATAAATAAGAAGATGTGGTATGAGTGCCAATGAGACAACTCTAAACCCAAGTCACAATGTATAAAAAGTTAACAATTGTAGGTTAAAGTTTGTAATAAAAATCTCTAAATGTTAAAAAAATTTTAAGATAAAAAAAAATGTCTTACAACCCGACTTTAATAAAGAAACTTAAAAAGAAGAAAAAATATATCTTGAGTTGGATGAATGTTGCATAGCATATGTACTTTAGAAAGTATAAATAAAAGGATACATTTAGAATGATGACTTTGACAATGATATGATACTGACTATTATAAGATAATTGTATATATCTTCTAAATGTTATTATGTTTACATTTATAAGGATTCAAAAGGTAATTTCATTTTGTTTTATTATTCATGTCCACTGTCGTGATATTAAATATAAGATCATTATAGAAGCCAAAATGGTAAAGAATGACCAAGTAAAGATTGTAACAAATGATTAAAAGATACTGTATGACAATAAAAACTGATACGACACCACATAGGCTTCCATTGATGGTTTAGGGTGTGTTTGATTAGATGTATCAAGTTGATGGTTTACTCTATTCTAATCATTTGAAACCATTCAAATGAAAATAGAAACAACACAATTTAATCATCATTTGATGTTCTGTCCATGGCAAGGGTTGGCAGAACATTTTAGAAATACGACTCTTAATAGGAGATTTAGCTAATTGACTCTTTTGTAATGATATACAGGGTAATTAGCGCATTCTTGTTTTATCCCATGTATGAGCTTTGAAATCGGACTGTATGAGCAGTGTAAAGTCGTTAATGAATTGTCTGTCCTACATTAGAAAATTTGTATTGTAAAAATCAGTAGAATTGTACTCCCTTTGTTCAGGGGAATAGGATACTTTAATCTGAAAACCATTTTGATGTCTAATCAATCTCTCCAAGAATATTACAAGATGGAGGATATTTACTGAGGAATTTCAAAAATAACAACATTTTCATCAGTGACATTTCTTTCAATAAATAATATATTGTACACAAATTTATGAATAAATAAAGATAGGTCCATTTGCCCTTTATTGAGATATAGCCATTTGAAAAATGAGGATTTTGTGTGTAGATTTTTCATATGCAATGAATGGGGAACAAATGTTATTGAACTATATAAAAATACAATTAGAAATAACAAGAATTAAAAAATTTTGACCAAAATTTTATTGGAGATATATTTTTAAAATTATAAAAATATTTATACATTAAGAAAAATAAGTGTTACTGGGCCAAAATTTTTAATGCATAGCCTTGGAAAAAGCTAAATGGGGTTACATAATATTATGGAAAAATTGAAAGGTGAGATTTGAACATCCTCAATATAAAAAGGTATGTTATTATTAACCTTTAATAAGATAATGTGCATGGATAGTAGAAAACAGGACATTACCGCTCTTCATTTACAATAAAAAGTATATTGTAAAATTTGTTATGAAAGATTGATTTTAAAGGGATTGTTATCTACCAATTAAAAATGATTTAAATTCTATTTTATGGTAAAGAAATGTGATAACATATAGTAAAACAATTGTTTCAAAATATTGGAGATAAAAAAAATTTTTGTGTAATTGTTAAGATGAAAAGCTCACCAATATGAAAGCAAACTGGAGATGTAAATAACAAGCATAGCTTATTTTGAATGTTCAGTTCAGTTGGAAGTTTATTTATTTTTGAAGATACTGTTATATATTATTTGATAATTTGTAAATTTCAAATTTGTAGTTTTTAAAATAGTAATAAAATCATGGTTTTATAATATCAGTGATAAAGATGCATTTTATAAGATCTTAAATTTTGTGGTCTTGATATTTCTTCACAAAAAATTAAACCTTGTTTCACAGTAATTGAAGGATAGTTGTCATGGAAATATTTATTGATAGTACCCTTTTTAGTAGGGTTATATTGCATTCACCTTGTCCGTCCGAACATACATCTGTTTCCATCCAACAATTATTTCTATCTTACTTTTGTTTTACTTTCCCCCCCCAAGTACTACTAAGCAGAATGACCTCATATTTGTTCAGCAGCTGGACAGCAATGAGTAGTAACATGTGAGCTCCTCAGATATGTCAGACACCTACTTCCTGTTTGCCAATACTTTAATTTTTTTATATGGTGAATGAACTTAAACATTTTTGTCACCATGGTCACACATTTTTCCAGTGCAGTACTAGTAAACAGAATTGACAGTGATGAGTTGTAATGTGTGAACATTAAAGGATCTATCAGACATCTACTTCCTGTTTGCAGATAGATGTACTTTAAATTTTTGAATATGGTAAATAAACTTATAACTTGTTGTCACGCCTTACTCCATCACGACAACAGAACGACTTTACATTTAGTCAGCAGCTTCACAGTGATGATTTGTAACTTGTAACATTTGATCACTTTTCAGATCTGTCGGACAACTTCTTCCTCTTGGTGTATGTGGGGGTATGACAAGGTGTATGTGGGGGTATGACAAGGTGTATGTGGGGGTATGACAAGCATGACACACTGTTCTTGTTTTTGTTATTATTTTCATATACCGGTAGCAAGAAATTGAATTTCAAATATTGTAATTTTCAATATTTTATATTTTATATACAGGAATTGAAATGAAAGCTGATTTTTATAGAGACTTCTATTTTGATCGTTACCATAGAGATGGACCACATCCAACCTATCAGAGACGAGGGTCATTACAGTTGTGGCAGTTTTTAGTGGCCTTATTGGATGATCCAGCAAATTCTGCATTTATTGCATGGACTGGTCGAGGACTAGAATTCAAGCTTATTGAACCAGAAGAGGTAAAGTATTTTAGCAATTAAGCTTATATTTTAGCAACATAGGCGAAATATTTTAAAAGATTCAGTTAATACATTTAGATACATACTTTTGTCTATAGGTATGTCAAGATATCCATGGTTTATGGATTTCCACAGAAAAAAATTATTGAAACTTTTGTGTGGTAAACATGATTAGTTGAAATTTGGGCTTTCTTAAAAAAAACTGACAATTTATTATACACTTTTATATTATATGAAATATTTTCATGAAGACCATTTCACTGAAATATGCACCCTAAATCACCTTTTACTCATATCAATAACGTACGTACAGGAGCAGTGAAGAAACTTATCATGCTGTGTATACACAGTGTTAAAAACAAACTCTCTGGGTGTGGGATTTTCTTGCTGTGTTGAAGACTCATTGATGGCTTTGGGCTGTTTTCTGCTCTTTGGTCTGGTTGTTGTCTCTTTGACACATTCTCTGTTTCCATTCTCAATTTTATTTGTTCTTAAAGGGGTAAAGGGGAACTCTGCTATGGCTAAGGGGAAATAACTCTTTAAAAACATTTATGCATTTGTTATAATCAGTTACATCACTTTTTTTTCAGAGAAGAATGTGAAGCGGAAATAAAATAAAATAATAATTGACCCAAAAGTTATTTTAAAGAGTTATGTCCCCTACTTAATCTCTTAACTTGATCTGCTTTGTAGTTTTACAATTTTTTTAATTCATTCTTAATGTTCATTTTAGGTTGCACGTAGATGGGGAATACAGAAGAATCGTCCAGCCATGAATTATGATAAATTAAGTCGATCATTGAGATATTATTATGAAAAAGGTATAATGCAAAAAGTTGCAGGAGAACGTTATGTATATAAATTTGTTTGTGATCCTGAAGCTTTGTTTTCAATGGCATTTCCGGACAATCATCGACCGATTCTGAAAACTGAGTGCTCAAGAGACGAATATTTTCGTGACACAAACCATGGGTTTGAAAATCAGCCTATCAGTTTACATTCAGGACACATTTCTCAAGGACATCTACCCCCAAGTCACATGACACCTGTACATATGATGCCTCCACCTACATCCACGTCCAATATGGCACCGTCAAATATGGAGCAGCGGTATCATTACATGCAGGATATGCAAAGAGTATACAGCTCAGGACCTTATATGGAAAATTGTGTGTATTGAAACTGGCTCAAACAGGGAACTTAACAATTCAGATTTTACTGAGTATAGACTATTGGTCTCTGTGAAACTGATTGGACAACAGTTATCAGTCCTATTATTCTTTTGTACAAATTAGTTCAAAGTCAACAAGATAATTTATTCAGTTGATATTTATTTATAGACCAAAACATTTCTTTAATGTTTTTAGGTTTCCCACTTATAACATTAATGGTAACAATTTTTCTGCACCAGATGTGCATTTCAACAATAAATGTCTCTTCAGTGATGCTCGAGGCCAAAGTACTTATGTTATTACTATATAAAAAAGAATAAAAACCAATCTTATTTCAATTATAATATGACTTTTCTAACACATGTATATTGAGGAAAAGTTAAAATTTGCCAAACCTCTCACACAATTTATTTTGGTAAAACTTGAAAAACACAGATTTTTGTTGTGTCTTATGAAAAACATGTTCTCCCCTTAAATTTCAAAAACCATCCTGAGATAAAAGAAATTTTCATATATTATCTTGTTGCTTATATTTATAGCATCACAGTGAACAAAATTTTATAATAAATTATAGAGAAGTTACATTTAAGATAGGGTCAAGGTTGTAAATTAAAATGTCCTAAGTAGAACACTGAAAGTATATTATAATTATTACTAATGTCTGTTCTGTTTGTAATGGTGTAAGTGGCACTCTGCAGTTTTAATCCGACATCTAAAACTTAGAGGTCTAAAACCTACAGGTTTTTAAGTGTGCCAATAAATGGATTAAGACTACATTGAAATTCACTTCTTATTTATAACATGGTCAGTTTAGAAAATATTACACTCAATTGTGCCTCAGCTTATACAAAGCAAAACGCCATAACTGTTTGTTTTTTTATTGGAGAGTTCCATGACAATGTCATACCATGTAATAATTAATATATTCTATTTCTATCAAAATTATAATTTCCACCTGTAACAATCATTACATTTTACATGTACTCCAGGAATGATTAGTTATTGGTCTGGAGTTATACTATGTAAGTTTTTGATGATTCTATCAAAATTTGTAATTCCCACTGAGCTTTGTCAATTTTAAATAACTTGTGGTGTAAAACTAAATTCACAACCTCACCTGTAATCTTGTTTCTTTTGTTATTTAAACTGGACACACGTCCTGATAAACCATAAATAATGATTAAGACATTGTCAGGAATTTAGGTTTTTTCTAATATGATGTTAATATGACCATTTATTTTTTGAAAGCTGACCTGCATTTGAATGTACTGTTTGCCTTCTAAACAGATAAATAAACCATCAATATAACAAGGTCTTAGTCCCAAAGGACATTGTTAGCATATAGTTTTAAAAAAAAATTGTCTGCTAGTCATCTTTATATGCAATTAGATATAGTTTGCTTCCTGAAACAATTGAAGTATATCTTTGTAATGAAGTGTTTGTAATTCATTTCTTTAAAAAGTGTCCAGGGACTGAACAAAAAAATTAAATCCTGCACATATATTCCCCCCGAAGCAACTAATATGTTAGGTCATAACCTGTATTATTATTTGTAGACAGGCCCTTCCACCTGAATGTTTGGTTAGACAAATGGGAATTCAGCCAGGTCTTTACAATGTTTTATTTGTTTCCTTAAACAATTCTTTATGGAACAAATATTCATAGTTCAAATGTTTTATTCATTTTTGATCCCCGAAAAGTAAAAGTTTGAAATATGTGTATTTCCTATACTTCGATTACACTTATGCTTGTGGATGTCTACACATGTCATTTAAGACCTACACATTATTGAAGTCCTGACTTAATTGTTTTATAGTATCAACGGTACAAAATATTTTGGTTTTCTTCTCGTTAAAATTTCATTGCCAGAATAAAAATTTTGTTGTTTGTTTTTGCCTTCATTTGATTGTTTAGTTGTAATAAAAATCACTGAAAATAATAGCTGTGAAATTACTGTGCCAAGGGAGATCATTCTAATCTGTTGAACCAAAAAGTGACCAATAAATTGGAAAGGAAGTCATTCACATTAGAACCTCTAAATATCATACAAATATTTAACAAAGTCTTATTAAAATCTTTGTTTTTGTAAAAGTTTGTCTTAGAGTTAGCAATTCTAAAAACATTGTTTCTATTCAATCAATTGTAATATGACGTGCTGCTTTTGCTTTGTAAACAACAGCTGAAGGTTATTCCATTACTTGTATGCTCCATATATATGAGGTTGCTACAAGCAGTTAGTATAAATTAGACTCTATTGAACTTCAGAAAATTTCTCTTTTTTTTGCCTTATTATCAGTAAACAAAGACAAGTTTATTGAAGTTCAATCAAACTACACTACTGGGTGTATCGCTATCAGTAGAAAAAACTTTTTAAATGAAAATTTCTGTATTAACAAAAAACATAGAAATGAACTGTACCTGCAGCTTTCATCTAATTGTACATATCTAATCATATTGATACCATAAAATAGCATGCAGTAAGAAATTTTAAACACAATTTTTCAGTTTAAATCGGTGAATTTTGTTCTTGTGTAAATAATTTTCGGACAAAAGGATCAGATCTAAATTTGCATATAGTTTATACAAACTAAGAGTTTACTGTTCATCCAAGATTATTTTTGACTTATGTAGGACACACATGGAATTTAGTGAAAACAGATCTTATTTTGTTAAAATATTATTTAAAAAATGTTATATTTTTAAGGAAATGATATTTTATTTGTTAATAATTCCATTTCTAGTCAGATTGTTGTATATTTATATGTAAAAATTGTGATCATGTTGCCATGACAATAAAAATACATATGATATTGTTTTATTTTGTTAAAAGCCATATGTGGTATTGCAATTATACATGTTATACATTGTTTCATTTAAAAAAAAAAAGTGTTAAAAAACAAACTGTTCTTAACATTATATACGCATTATTTCGTCAAGAACAAATACTGTAAAATTTCTTCCGGTAAAAATAATATCCCAGAATATTTCTACCATTTGGAACTCATATTACAAGGGTACTTATGTTCCATGACACCACCACATTTTTTATTGCTTGTCAAATTAAAATAAATTATAAAAGAACAGCCATCTTCTTTATGTGCCTGTCCCAGGTCAGGAGCCTGTAGTTCAGTGGTTGTTGTTTGTTCATGTCTGTCATATTTGTTTTTGTAAATTGTTTTGTTATAATTTAGGCTGTTTGTTTTAAATTTTGAATTGTTGCACATTTTTCATATTAGGGCCTTTTATAGCTGACTTGGGTTTTTTCATTTTGAAGGCCATACAGTTGCCCATTATTGCTTACATCCACTTCATTTGAAGTCTGGTGGATAGTTGTCTCGTTGGCAATTATACCACATTTCCTTATTTTTAATGTCAATAAAAGAGCAAGAACTGTACAAAAATGTTGGGGTCCTTTTAAGCTTTTTATAAATATCCTACAAAAATGTAGGCATGAGATTGGTAACAATGTTATTTTCTTTTTTCGATTTCTAAGTAGCATTACTCCTGTTAAAATAGGTGGTGGTTACTCTTCCAAGACCTTACTGATAAAAACCCTAAATATAAAATTCTTAAACATCCAATAAAAATGTAGGTGTGAGAGTGCTGACTGTGTAATGTTCAATATTAAACACAAACACGTTTAACCCTGCCACATTCTGTATGCCTGTCCCCAGACAGGAGCCTGTAATTCAGTGGTTGTTGATTGTTGCTGTATATCATATTTGTTTTTAGTATTTTGTTTTGTACATAAATCAGGCCATTCGTTGTCCTGTTTGAATTGTTTTACATTTGTCCTTTTATATCTCACTATGTGGTATGGGTTTTGCTCAATGTTGTACAGTGATCTATAGTTGCTACTTCCAAATTTCACAATTGACCAAGTATTTTGTTTCAAGAGATTGTTTTCAAAATTGTTTGCAATGGTCTTATAGATCACGTGTTTGAACTAGATCCACTTAAAGTTTGTCATATGACACCAAAGTGTTATATTGATTCTGGTTTGCTTTTAGAAAATAAGTGGCGTCACAAGTGTTATATATATATAAATCTCATTATTTTCCTTATAGTAATTATAAAAACAATCAATACTTGGTATGGATCAGATATACAAACCATATATGGTACCCATTACTTCGGTTGAGAAAATGGTACTCTTATATGACAAACTTTAAGGAACATTTCTTTTATTGCTGTTCTTCATCTCAAGGTAACAGTAAGGTCTTCGTCAGAGTACAAATTTTAGACTATTTTCCATATTGACCAATTTGATAAATTAAGTTTACATATTAAATTGATCTGGACATACTGGTTGGGTGATTATAATCAGCTATCTGGCATGTCTGGTTTCAAAACTGGATATCATTTCTTTAAATGTTTTTTCTGCATTACCCTTAAGCTCAAATGCAATGCTTAATCACATCTGGCATCCATTCTTACATGATGAACCAAGACAATGGACACCATGACCCGCTTGCGCTATCCCATTTCAAGGTTTTAAACCCGCTGCATTTGTTTTCACCTGTCCTATGTCAGGAACCTGTTGTTCAGTGGTTGTCGTTTGTTGATGTGGTTCATAAGTGTTTCTCATTTTTTATATAGATTAGACCTTTGGTTTTACACTAGTCATTTTTGGGGCCCTTTATAGCTTGCTGATCGGTGTGAGCCAAGGCTCCGCGTTGAAGGCCGTACTTTGACCTATAATTGTTTACTTTTTATACATTTTGAATTGGATGGAGAGTTGTCTCATTGGCACTCATACCACATCTTCTTATATCTATCAGTTACTGTGGAATACTAGATGTAAAAGATGTCATTTGGCCAAGAATTTAAAAAGTTCACATCACAATGAACATGTGAACAAAGTTTCAAGTTTATGTGATCACAACTTCATAGTTAACTAATTTTACCCAAAAACTGAACCAGAGTATGTCATGATTTCACACTACCACAATTCAATGCTCAATGAAGCATGAAATTGTGGTCAAAACCGTTATTTGGCTAATAATTCAAAAAGTTCACATCATAATGACCATGTGTTTTAAGTTGATGTGACCACAACTTCATTACAAACTACATTATCTAAAATTATTTAATAGGGGGAATATGTGTTGGAGGCAATCAAAGTTTACATCAGAAAAAAACCAACCCTCAAAAAACCATTACATAGAAAACTAAAGAGCAACTAGAACTTCACCAAAAACTGGGTGTGCTCTAGAATGGTAAGCAGTTTCTGCTCCACTAGAGGCATCTGTTGTGTAACCAATACTCATAGGAAGTAAAAATTCAGTGACAAGTCAGATTCCATAATATTACATTTGAGGATAAGAGGCTGGGATTGATGCTATGACACGTGGAACATACAAGGGTTCATCCAAGATGGATATTCCCTAGTGGTCAACAAAATTAAGATTGCATCTGTTAAATTGCCCAAAAGGACTACTTCAACATTACCAAATAAAACCTGGTACAATTTGCTTCCTAGTAGCAACCTTCCATCAAAGAAATCATGATAGGAAACACAAGCCCTGGAAATACATATATGATCTTATAGGAAACACATGCCCTGGAAATACATATATGATCTTATAAGAAACACAAGCCCTGGAAATACATATATGATCTTTGGATGGATGTACTGACAGACACACAAACCAGAAAAAAAATGCCCCTTTCTTAAAAGGTATTTAAAACTGTCTTGGTCAGTTTCAACTCTGTAATAGTTCAAAAGGTATTTTTTTCTACAAGATTCAAGATAGTTCTTTGCAAATAGCCATATAGGTTTGCTAAAAGACATGGTAGTAACCCAACACAGAGTAAGTACTCCACAAGGAATCTAGTTCACATTTTTGGTTTTAAATGGTGTAGCCACTTTAAAGATACCTAGACATTTCCCTTGGATCCCAATCTGAAAGCAAGCCTCACCTTATGTCACTTTCTGTTGGCTGCATGACACAGAAGTAACAACTCAATCAATGAAAATTGATAGCCACAAAAAAATAAATAAATCACAGTATTTTCAGCATATTTTGTCTAAACCAGTCCGAAGATTTTTATACTATTTATCTATATCTAATTCCAAAATTGATGACCATTGTGACTATGTTGGTTGGCTGATCAGTACCAATTCTCATTAACCAATTTTATTCTGTTTCTGGGTTCCTCAAAACCTTTAAAACACACAAACACACATTATAAAAGGCTGTGCACTGAGTGAAAGATATCCTGGTCATATACACATTGTAGCTATTGCAAGAAGAAAATGGAATACTGTAAAAGGTATTTAATCAAGTCAGTTGAATTGCTCTGAAGAAACACTTGCAGTATGTCCACACACATATAAATATTGCCTTACAAATTTGATGGTTTTGGTCCCACAACTCTAAAAAAACTAGATGTGTTGGAACAACACGAATGGCCCCGCTCGCAATAAAAAGCTTGAAGCCATTTTTAGAGTGGAAATTTGAGAATAAAAGTCCAAATAACTGTTATTTTCACAAAATTTTCAAAGTCCAAAGCCTGTTATTTCAGCAAAAAACAATGGAGCGGAACAAATCGTAAACTTGATCTGTAACTCATTGTAGTAGACTCGCATACTAAAAATCAGTCCAATATGTGAAGGTGTTTAGAAAATAAATGTGGATAGTGTCCACATGTGGACACAGATGATGCCCCCGCTTGCATATCATATAGTTATAAAGGGACATAACTGAAGAACAGTAAAAGTGACGCTACCCAAATTTGAACTTGATCTGAGTTTTGTGTGTAAGTCTCATAACATTTGGTTGAGGCTAACTTAAGTAGAGAACAGAAACTAAAAATTCAGTAAACATTGCATTGTATAAAGCATTCATTGTAGTTGATTCAACTATAATCATGGACAAAGGAAGATAACTCCAATTTTAAAAATAACTTGATATTTAGAAGAAAATAAAAATTTTGCAATTTTTTCCATTTATAAAGGGGCATAACTCTAGAACGGTTAAAGTGACGCCACCAAAATTCAAACTTGATCTGTGTTTTGTGGTAATAAGCATTGTGTATAAGTTTCATAACATTTGGTTGAGGCAAACTTAAGTTAGAGAACGGAAACTAAAAATTTTGCAATTTTTCCATTTATAAAGGGGCATAACTCTAGAACGGTTAAAGTGACGCCACCAAAATTCATACTTGATCTGTGTTTTGTAGGTAATAAGCCTTGTGTATAAGTTTCATAACATTTGGTTGAGGCAAACTTAAGTTAGAGGACGGAAACTAAAAATTTTGCAATTTTTCCATTTATAAAGGGGCATAACTCTAGAACTGTTAAAGTGACGCCACCAAAATTCATACTTGATCTGTGTTTTGTAGGTAATAAGCCTTGTGTATAAGTTTCATAACATTTGGTTGAGGCAAACTTAAGTAAGAGAATGGAAACTACAAATTTTGCAATTTTTCCATTTATAAAGGGGCATAACTCTAGAACTGTTAAAGTGACGCCACCAAAATTCATACTTGATCTGTGTTTTGTAGGTAATAAGCCTTGTGTATAAGTTTCATAACATTTGGTTGAGGCAAACTTAAGTAAGAGAATGGAAACTAAAAATTTTGCAATTTTTCCATTTATAAAGGGGCTTAACTCTAGAACGGTTAAAGTGACGCCACCAAAATTCAAACTTGATCTGTGTTTTGTGAAAATAAGCATTGTGTATAAGTTTCATGACATTTGGTTGAGGCAAACTCAAGTTAGAGAACGGAAACCAATTTTGGGACGTACGGACGGACATATGTACGTACGTACAGACGGACAAGGGTAAAACTTAATGCCCCCACCGCTACGGCGGGGGCATAAAAAAACTGTTTAACTGTTAGTTGCGGAATGACGGATAAGGGTAAAACTATATGGCCCCGACAACTTTGTTGCAGGGCCATAAAAAGTTAGGCATGTCTATCCAAAGGATAGAGATGTCCAAGAAACCAATATTTTGAGTAAATGTCTAAAATTTCAACCCCATTTATCTCTAAAAGTAGCACATGAAGTTACATTTGTTATAACATGTTTAAAAGGACTAGGTGAAAAATAGCTTATATGCAAATTTTCGTAAAAAACCCACCGTGAGATCAAATCAAAAGGGAGCTTTTTCCCTAGTGAATCAAATATTTCATAAAAAGTTCATATTTTATCAAAGCCTTCTAGATCAGTAGCTTTGGTACAATGTGTTGATAGCTAACAGACAGGTGGATGACAGTATACATTACCTTAGTACATCCTGTCTATGATGGCCATATTAAAATGAATCCAATGTATATTCTTAAAAACTTCAAAGATGAAACAGCTGACTTGATCTATTCAACAAGGTAACCTTAAACCTTTTGAGAGGTGCAAATTAGGCCTGAAAAGAGGACTAACATTTCTAAACTAGAGCTCTAAAGAGCCTGTGTCGCTCACCTTGGTCTATGTGCATATTAAACAAAGGATACAGATGGATTCATGACAAAATTGTGTTTTGGTGATGGTGATGTGTTTGTAGATCTTACTTTACTGAACATTCTTGCTGTTTACAATTATCTCTATCTATAATGAACTTGGCCCAGTAGTTACAGTGGGAAATATTTTGTAAAAATTTACAAAAATTTACAAAATTTATGAAAATTGTAAAAAATTGACTATAAAGGGCAATAACTCCTTAAGGGGTCAATTGACAATTTTGGTCATGTTGACTTATTTGTAGATCTTACTTTGCTGTACATTATTGCTGTTTATAGTTTATCTCTATCTATAATAATATTCAAGATAATAACCAAAAGCTGCAAAATTTTCTTAAAATTACCAATTCAGGGGCAGCAACCCAACAACGTGTTGCCTGATTGGTCTGAAAATTTCAGGGCAGATAGATCTTGACCTAATGAACAATTTTACCCTGTCAAATTTGCTCTAAATGCTTTGGTTTCAGAGATATGAGCCAAAAACTGCATTTTACCCTGTGTTCTATTTTTTAGCCATGTCGGCCATCTTGGTTTGCGGGCGGGGTAATCGGACACATCTTATAAACTAGAAACCTAACGATGATTGTGGACAAGTTTGGTTAAATCTGTCTTAGTAGTTTCAGAGGAGAAGATTTTTGTAAAAGATTATAAAAATTTACAAAAAATGGTTAAAAATTGACTATAAAGGGCAATAACTCCTTTAGGGGTCAACTGACCATTTTGGTCAAGTTGACTTATTTGTAGATCTTACTTTGCTGAACATTATTGCTGTTTACAGTTTATCTCTATCTATAATAATATTCAAGATAATAACTAAAAACGGCAAAATTTCCTTAAAATTACCAATTCAGGGGCAGCAACCCAACAACGGGTTGTCAGATTCATCTGAAAATTTCAGGGCAGATAGATCTTGACCTGATAAACAATTTTATCCCTGTCAGATTTGCTCTAAATGCTTTGGTTTCAGTGATATAAGCCAAAATCTACATTTTACCCCATGTTCTATTTTTAGCCATGGTGGCCATCTTGGTTGGTTGGTCGGTTCACCGGACACATTTTTTAAAATAAATACCCCAATGATGATTGTGGCCAAGTTTGGTCAAATTTGGCCCAGTAGTTTCAGAGGAGAAGATTTTTGTAAAAGTTTACAGACGACGGACGAAGGACGCCAAGTGATGAGAAAAGCTCACTTGGCCCTTTGGGCCAGGTGAGCTAAAAAGCTTGACCAAAATAATTTTAATGAATGTAAGAAATAGTACAACCAAAATAATGGAATGGATTTATTACAATAATATATATAACATAATTTGATGAAAATTTCAATAAAACAATGATTCCTGAAGCATTGTCATTTATAAATGATGAAAATGTTTTTATACCAATTCTTGATATTCTAATACAATGTACCATAAGATATATCTCTCGTAAGTTTTAAGAACAAGCTCTATGTATTCAAATATTATTTGTATAACTCCCTAAGTTTATATCTTGTGCACTGTTCCGTTTTTCATATCCTTTCCTACTGAACATTAAAATTATATGACTGATGTTGATGCCCACTGTTTGACCTCTGTAGGGCATTGTGGGTATTTTTGTAATGCGTCAGTTATCTGTGATGGATGAATCAGTAGTGACATCAGTCTATACTCTTTCTGAATACGAGTTCCTGAACCATCAGTTGACTTAACTAGTTCTAATGCTAATAAATGTTCAAATGCCTGCAAGAAAAACAAAAGTTATAATACAAGAATATCTGTGTTGATTGGCAAGGAGTATGCCTTACATGTTAAGAAACCTGTAAAGGGTTCCTTCTCCACTAGTATAATAAATTGCTTCGCCGAGCGCAGCTGGATACGACCGCAGAGGTCCAACCCAGAACAGTTGGGGCAAAAATGGACACAATATTCGCGCTTGATACAGGTCTGAATTTGGATTGTAATTAAATATTAGACACATAAAAGGTTTCTGACACAGAATAACTGTAGTCAAAGAACTTAGAATTGGTTATATGATTTGAACTTATATTCAATTTTTTGCGTTTGCGCAATACACTTTGCTGTTGCGAATTGATCCCCCCTCCCCCCACAAAAAAAAAATAAAAAAATCCCCCCCTTTTTTCTGCTTTTGTGCAATACACTATGCTGTCCCCCCCCCCCCCCCCCCCCCCCCCCCCCCCCCCCCCCCCCCCCCCCCCCCCCCCCCCCCCCCCCACACACACACACATTTTTTTGGCAAAAAAATTAATACTTGAAGAATTTTTCTTTTTAATTTCTGAAATCTGATATGAGAAAAAATTGACCCCCCACAATTTCTTTTTACCCCCCCCCCCCCCTTTTTCCCCCAAAAAAATTCTTTCCCTCAAGATATGGTCACAATCTCAATTCAAATTTCCAATGGAATTTGCAACCATAATTACCCATTTAAATTTACCATAGTGCTAACTTAATCTATTTTATAATAGAACTTAAAATATGGTGTCAAATCTTTCATATGGATTTTTTTGTAAAAAAAAAAAGCTCCAACATTTGCAGATATTTTTACTGGTCTCCCTTTATAAATATGCATTTCTTAATAAATAATTTAAAAGCAGTGTATGGGGGGGGGGTAATCAAAACATTGTATTTGGATTACCTCCCTTACACTGCTTTTATTTATGTTTTGTACTAAAGTATTTGTCCATTAACCAGGACACCTTTGTTTTTCCCCCTTTTTTGCCCCTAATTTCTAAATGGTTTGAGCCATAACCTCTCAAAGCAAATCCTATCCATTCCTTTGTGCTATGGAAACTTGTGGTATAATTTCAGAGAGATCCATACACCGTTCCACAAGTTATTGTCTGGAAACTAGAAAAATGCTTATTTTTGGCCCCTAATTCCGTAACTGTTGGTACCATAACCCCCAAAATCAATCCCAACCTTACTTTTGTGGTATTGAACCTTATGGTAAAATTTCGTAGAGATCCATTCACTTAAACTAAAGTTATTGTGCAAAAACCAAAGTGTCTTCGGACGACGACGACGCCAAAGTCATACCAATATACGACCCCAAAAATTTTTTGCGGTCGTATAAAAATAAGATGATGTGGTATGATTTCCAATGAGACAACTATCCACCCTAGTTCAAATGAAGTGGATGTATTACCAATTTTATCACCTTTATCAAAAGGGACAAGTCTATCTGATGTTTGTCTATGTTAAATTAATTCTAAATAATAAATATCTTGCACTGACCTCTTTCAGTAACTAATTTCACTCACCTTTAGTACAACTGCCTTTTCATACATCTGCATTGAAGATCTTTTCTGAGCAAACTTTGCATACTCTAAAAATGGAAATCAATAATATTTTAATTAGATTTGATTGCAATAAATCTTTACAAACGGAGAAGATATGATATGGCTATAAAGATGTAATTGGGTTAAGTTATCTTTCATATTATATATGTCAATTTCCACATTTATATGACATCATACTGACTTCCCAAGTTCCCTTTCCACACATAAGTGTCAGAGCTGTCGACCTTTGGGAATGAGATATCATGTCATAGCATGGCATGCCATATATAAAAAATAAAAAGATGTGGTATGATTGCCAATGAAACAACTATCCACCAGAGACCATATGACATAGAAGTTAAAAACTTTAGGTCACTGTATATATCATGCCTGTATGTGTGTAAAAACAGGTGGCATGCTTTTTGCCCTGAAAAACATTCAATTAAATTTATGGCTTACTATGCTGTGTTGGTTTTGCTCATTGTTAAAGGCCGTAAGGTGACTTATTGCTGTTAACTTCATGTCATTTGGTCTCTGGAGAGTTATCTCATTAGCAATCATACCAAATCTTCTTATTTTTATATTGATTGATTGTAAACAACAAGTTTCAAGTAATGTTGAGTTTTTGAATGTCTAATTTTATCACTTTTGACAAAAGATGGAAGTAAATGTAAGAATGTTAAGCATGTTAACATTAACAAGTTACAAGGTTAAACAACAAATATTTCTTTTTAGCCCAGGATCACTCATTCTTTTATTCACGTAAAACTCATTCCGAAACATTATGACAGGCACACTAGTACCTCTTAAGCTCAAGATAAAAGCTTCCTGTCCAGAGAACAACCTCTTCCAAACAGTAGACATTTTCCCAAAATAAAAGAAATGTAGCAAAACCATTCCACCTGATATAAATAGCAATCTATGGAAAAATCCTACAGTGTACAAGAATGTGTGTGATCTCATGTAGACATGGAATGAGTGTTCCTCACATGGTGTAATGAAAATAGCATGTGTAAACAGTACAAAATATGTGTATTACAAACATTTGAATTGGCAAATGTGAACTATCTAGTATATTAATTTTTTGTAATAATTTATCATTGGAATTTTAACAAACATAAACCCACTCCTTTACTAATAGAAAAATTTGTAAAAATTAAATATTTAAATGAATTCAGTTGCTTAATTCGTCATTTGGTCTCTGGTGGAGAATTTTCTCATTGGCAATCATACCACATCTTCTTATTTTTCTATCATACAATATTATTTGATTTCATGATTTTTGTTAAAGCACATATCGTCATTAAAATAGAACTCATCCATTCATCTGTTTTATGGTGATTTTGTATTTTTGTCCTTGGTATGTCCTTGACAATTTAAATTTATCATTTACTTCTATGATAAAATCTATATAAAAATTCTGAATTACACAAAAGTTGACTATAAAATATCTAGACTTATTTTTATACATAACATACCACTATAAACCATCTCAAAATTGAAAGGTTCTCCGTCATAAATATCTGTCAGATGTTTCATGGCAATGATCAAACACAACTCCAGTATAGATATTCCTATAAAACAAAAACACAACTTCAGTATAGATATTCCTATAAAACAAAAACACAACTCCAGTATAGATATATATACCAACAAGAGTGCACACGCTGAAATGTCTCGCCTTCTTTACTAATCATTGATATTATGTTGATAGTCCTAAATATAAAGCTTTATTACAACTGTCACATAAACTTAACATTAACCAAGTAAACTAAACATTAACCAATGAACCATGAAAATGAGGTCAAGGTCAGATGAACCATGCTAGGCAGGCATGTACAGCTAACAATTCTTCCATACAACAAATATAGTTGACCTATTGCTTATAGTTTAAGAAAAACAGACGAAAACACAAAAACTTAACACTGAGCAATGAACCTTGAAAATGAGGTCAAGGTCAAATAAAACCTGCGTGACTGACATATAGATCATAAAATATTTCCATACACCAAATATAGTTATTGCATATAGTATTAGAAAAAAAGACCAAAACTCAAAAACTTAACTTTGACCACTGAACCATGAAAATGAGGTCAAGGTAAGATGACACCTGCCAGCTAGACATGTACACCTTACAATCATTCCATACACCAAATATAGCTGACCTATTGCATGCAGTATTAGAAAAAAAAGACCAAAACTCAAAAACTTAACTTTGACCACTGAACCATGAAAATGAGGTCAAGGTCAGATGACACCTGCCAGCTAGACATGTACACCTTACAATCATTCCATACACCAAATATAGTAGACCTATTGCATACAGTATAAGAAAAACAGACCAAAACACAAAAACTTAACTATGACCACTGAACCATGAAAATGAGGTCAAGGTCAGATGACACCTGCCAGCTAGACATGTACACCTTACAATCATTCCATACACCAAATATAGTAGACCTATTGCATACAGTATAAGAAAAACAGACCAAAACACAAAAACTTAACTATAACCACTGAACCATGAAAATGAGGTCAAGGTCAGATGACACCTGCCAGTTGGACATGTACACCTTACAGTCCTTCCATACACCGAATATACTAGACCTATTGCTTATAGTATCTGAGATATGGACTTGACCACGAAAACTTAACCTTGTTCACTGATCCATGAAATGAGGTCGAGGTCAAGTGAAAACTGTCTGACGGGCATGAGGACCTTGCAAGGTACGCACATACCAAATATAGTTATCCTATTACTTATAATAAGAGAGAATTTAACATTACAAAAAATCTGAACTTTTTTTTCAAGTAGTCACTGAACCATGAAAATGAGGTCAAGGACATTGGACATGTGACTGACGGAAACTTCGTAACATGAGGCATCCATATACAAAGTATGAAGCATCCAGGTCTTCCATCTTCTAAAATATAAAGCTTTTAAGAAGTTAGCTAACGCCGCCGCCGCCGCCGTAGCCGCCGCCGCCGGATCGCTATCCCTATGTCGAGCTTTCTGCGACAAAAGTCGCAGGCTCGACAATAAAACAATGAGAAATGATGCCCCCGCTTGCATATAACATTATAAAGGGACATAACTCAAGAACGTAAAAGTGATGCTACCCAAATTCACACTGAGTTTTGTGGTAGTAAGCATTGTGTATAAGTTTCAAAACATTTGGTTGAGGCAAACTAAAGTTAGAGAACAGAAACCAAAAATTCAGCAATTTTCCATTTGTAAAGGGGCATAACTCTAGAAGGGTAAAAGTGACGCCACCAAAATTCAAACTTGATTTGTGTTTTGTGGTAATAAGCATTGTGTATAAGTTTCCTAACATTTGGTTAAGGCAAACTAAAGTTAGAGAACAGAAACCAATTTTAGGGCGTATGGACGTACAGACGGACAAGGGTAAAACTCAATGCCCCCTCTGGAATGGCAGGGGCATAAAAATACAACTCCAGTATAGATATGCCTATAAAACAAAGTCATGACGTCAGTAGTTATATAATCTAGTGATCACAGAAACCCCTGTCTGCAGCAACTGAGATATCAATATTTAGTTAAGTGGTTCAAACCATTCCATTAAATTTAAATCAAATTTTAATAAAATGCTTCGCTGAGTGCAGCCTGATCGACCGTGGAGGTCGAACCCTGAACAGTTGGGGCAAGTTTGGACACAATATTCAAGGTTGATATTGTCTGAATTTGGATTGTGATCAAATTTTTGATATAATATAATAGGTTTCTGACACAAAATAAATGTGGTCAAAGATCTTAAAATTTTGAAATGGGACATTTAATTTACCTAGAATGGTCTGATATCCAAAATCTAACAACATCGTTAGATTCAGCATATAAAAAAAAACACCAAAAATTTAATTTAAGTTGAAGTCAAGCGAAATTAAATTTTGGATCCTTCAAACCTTAATATGGACTAATTTGAAAACAGGGCCCAAAATAAAAAATCTAAATGCACAATAAGATTCAGCATATCATACAGCCGCAATAATTCAGTTTTTGATGAAATCAAACAAAGTTTAATTTTGGACCCTTTTGACATTAATGTAGACCAATTTAAAAATGGGACCTAATATCCAAAAAAGTAATACAAGGTTAGAACCCCCAAAAATTAAAGACTTTAAATTAATCCCATTGAAATTGGTTAAAAGATTTGTATTTATTTTCAATTGAAGATTTCTTGCTATTGCGCAATACTGTGACGTTGCGCACGATGTTGGTACCAATTCCATTTTGCTATAGATTAGCATAAAAATAAATACGTAGATTGGTCAGTTCGATAAAAATATAGTGATTTCTGATTGAATTCATTACATTAGACTTGAAATTAAAGAAAAAAAGGAACCGAAATTTAAAATACCAGGAATTATAACACTTAATTATCCCATTTTTACGCAAAAACGTAATGTCCAACGTTTCATTTTGTGTGCAAAAGATCAGAGTTCCGTTTCTTTCCTACGGTATTTTTTCTCCGATCATCGTAAAACTTCACAAGAACATTGCTATTGTTATAGATATTCGCGTGTTAAAGCAAAATCAATATCACTGAAACCGTAATCCGGAAAATGTTATTTTTTAAAACGGTCTGAAAAATGTCCAAGCATTTGCAAGGTAAGTATATTTCGGGTTTGCGCATTTATACTGTGAAATTGAAAAAGCTGACAGGAAAAATATTTATTATATTTTGAAAGTTTTTTTACTTTTCTCCTGGTTCATGATATTTTTTTGCCGGAAACCATGCGTATAGTTTCTATTGCAATGATTTCAAAAAGTATAGCCATCTTGTCCCAACGAAAAAACGCTGTATTTTCTTTAAAATTGAGGTTTTAACCAGCTGTCTATCAAATAAGCATAGTTAGATCATAGAAAATAAAACTTGGCGGTAAAGGTTTTTTTGTTTTTCTTTTTAAACAATATAGTGTTTAATATTTTTTCTTTGGGCAATAAGGTTTTTAGATCGTTTCAAAAAGTATAGCCGTTTTGTCCCAACGTTCGCAAAACGTAATTGATGTCATGCTCGGGTTTTTAATTTTATATCGTAATTATTTGTTTCCAGTTTAATTCGAATGAAAATAAAAATAAATGTATAATTTACAATACAACCAATGTATGAGAAAGGAGTAGTTTAAGTTTAAATTCAAATATTGACCAAATGAGATTGATATAAAACTAGAGGCTCTCAAGAGCCTGTGTCGCTCACCTGTATTTACTGATGCTTTGGAAATGATGTAAAATAAGGTTAAAATCATAATTAATAGTATTAGATATTATAATGATATCTAAGATAATAACAAAAAACTGCAAAATTTTTGTAAAATTACTAACTCAGGGGCAGCAACCCAATAACGGGTTGTCGGATTCGTCTGAAAATTTCAGAGCAGATAAATCTAAATCTGATGAACATTTTTGCCACCTGTCAGATTTGCTCTAAATGCTTTAGTTTCAGAGATATAAACCAAAAATTGCATTTTACCCCTATGTTCTATTTTTAACCAAGTCGGCCATGATGGTTTGGGAGGCGGGGTCATCGGACAAATTTTTCAAACTAGATACCCTAATAGTGATTATGGCCAAGTATGGTTAAATTTGTCTCAGTAGTTTCAGAGAAGAAGATTTTTGTAAAAGATTACAAAAATTTACAAAAAATTGTTAAAAATTGACTATTAAGGGCAATAACTCCTAAAGGGGTCAACTGACAATTTTGGTCATGACAACTTATTTGTAGATCTTACTTTGCTGAACATTATTGCTGTTTACAGTTTATCTCTATCTATAATAATATTCAAGATAATAACCAAAAACTGCAAAATTTCCTTAAAATTACCAATTCAGGGGCAGCAACCCAACAACAGGTCGTCAGATTTGTCTGAAAATTTCAGGGCAGATAGATCTTGACCTGATAATCATTTTACCCTATGTCAGATTTACTCTAAATGCTTTGGTTTCAGAGATATAAGCCAAAATCTACATTTTACCCCTATGTTCTATTTTTAGCCATGGCCGCCATCTTGGTTGTTTGGCGGGGTCATCGGACACATTTTTTTTAACTAGATACCCTAATGATGATTGTGGCCAAGTTTGGTTAAATTTGGCCCAGTGGTTTCAGAGGAGAAGATTTTTGTAAAAAGCTAACGATGACGGACAACGACGACGACGACGGACGCCCCGTGATGAGAAAAGCTCACTTGGCCCTTCAGGCCAGGTGAGCTAAAAAAGTATCGGGATCTTAGTTTTTTTTTATAGCATATTTGTTTTATATAAGAAACATTGTCTATCTGCAAGTGTTAAATCGTCAAAAGTAACATGTATAATTTTTTTTTAATAAAATAAAAGAGAGAAAAACCATTGCTGGCAATTATAACAAACAAAGGATATGCATAAGCCACAAAAAAAAAACTGAATTAAGAAAGGAATCTCGAATGTTTAACTTCCTAGATATTTTGCGACAAAGAAAGCATCGGGAAATGATAAAATGTAGAAAGGAAACGGAAATGGAAACGGGAAGAAATGCAACAACAGGAGTATGTACAAATGTATAAATATGCAAAAAATAGGAGAATATTTATTCAAAATCTAATTTATATTAAAAATAAATCTGTGTAAATTTGGAAATTAATGTATCGGATTCATTAATGCGAACTGCTGCCGAAAGGAAAATTATCAATTATGGCCTGGAAAGACTGACAACTCCTGTAAATGAATATTCATTTAAAAAAAAATATCTATACAGCCACTTTGAGTTTTATTTGTAAAATTATGCATTTTTTCAGACAAACCGAAATCAGGTACCAAATTCACAACTGTTACAGTAAATTGACCTCATCAATAATATGCTTGAACGCCTGAAACTTTCTTTGAAATCGTCGAAATCGCCTTATTTTAAGGAACGTTGTGAAACGCTAAGTAGTACCAACATCGTGCAATTGAAGATTTCTTGCTATTGTACAATACTGTACTGTTGCGCAATACTGTGTTGTTGTGCAATACTGCGCTATTGCGCAATTGAAGACTTCTTGCTATTGCGCAATAATGTGCAATTGAAAATTTCTTGCTATTGCGCAATACTGTGCAATTGAAGATTTCTTGCTATTGCGCAATACTGTGCAATTGAAGATTTCTTGCTATTGTGCTATTGGGCAATACTGTGTTGTTGTGCAATACTATGCTATTGCGCAATACTGTGCAATTGAAGATTTTTTGCTATTGCGCAATACTGTGCAATTATTTGAAATTTCAAAAATTTTCAAGAAAAAAAAATGAACCCCCAAAAAAAATTGGAAAAAAAAAATCCCCCCAAACTTTTTGATCCCCCCCCATTGGAGTAATTACCCCCAAACTCAATCGCTGCTTTCCCTTTGTGATATGGAACCTTGTGGTACAATTTCAGAGAGATCCATACACTTACACACAAGTTATTGTCCGGAAACTACAAAAATGCTTGTTTTTGGCCCCTAATTCCTAAACTGTTGGTACAATAACCCCCAAAATCAATCCCTTCCTTTTGTGGTATTGGACCTTCTGGTAAAATTTCTTAGAGATCCATTCACTTAAACTAAAGTTATTGTCCAGAAACCAAATGTGTCCTCAGATGACGCCGACGACATCATAGCATTATACGACGCAAACATTTTTTTGCGGTCGTATAAAAAGGGGGTTAATTCATTATTTTGAATCCACAAAATTTAGAATTTTCAAACAATCAAGTACCATAACTCTGGAAATGTAAAAGTTAAAGCAACAAAAATCGACCATAACCTGTCATATGGTCTGAACATTCCATTAAGGTTTTAGCTACTAGGCTTGTGATACCCTTGGGAACTGTTCACCAGCAGAGGTAATGAAAACTATCTTTAAAGGTTCAAACCATTCCATTGAAATTTAAATTAATTTAAAAAAGCGGTTTTCTATTTATCATCTAAAAACCAAAATATTTAGAATTTTTCCAACAATCAATTACTACACCTCTGGAATGGTAATATATATATTTCAATTAATTTCAAAAAGCGGTTCTTTATTTATCATCTAGAAACCAATTGTGATGGACAGAGGGCTGGCTGGATAGGCATATAGACTGACATGATGGTACCTATATACCCCCGACTCTGTCTTGGAAAAACAAAGCAGAGATTACAATTCATTCAGTACTGAACATTTTCTGTATGTCTCAGAATGTGACTTATCACTTAATTTTTACTTCTCATGCACAACGTTAACATAACATGTACCACTAGTGATGCAGAATATACCTTAACCTTACACCAGAGTTCACCCTTGGTTATGTTGGGGTTTGTGTTCCATTATATCTTAGTTTGCTGAAAGAGTAGTGTTTTATGGACAAAAGTATTAATTTCATCTTTAACATAAATTGTGATCAGATTTTTCTGCCTAACAAGATGAAAGGTACCAATAGTGGATCAGAACTATCAAAGAACCCGAGTTATGTCACCACTTTGGTGAGGTTGAGGTTGCTCAATCTTTAGTTTTCTGTGAAGTGTTTTGTGTAAATTTTGTATTTTGTCTTTTTTCATTGACTGTGGTGTTGTCTTGTCATTTTCAACAATTGAATTTTTTAATCCCAACACAAAATATTTCATGTGAAAAGTATTTTAAAAATATATGATAAAATGTTGCTATGTATTAAACACCTATTTTAACAAAGTTCCAGTAAACGTTTTCTATATTTCGGTAATGAGTTTATATACCATGTAACATTGCTGATTTGCTGTCTGTCATTGTAACTTTCATAGCTTCTACAAAATCACTGGGTGTTGGGAAAGAGTGAGTCTCATTCAGATGACAAACAACATACATCTGAAACAAATAAATATCATCTATATTACTACATAGAGTTTAATATCTGTTATCCTAAAGCAAACCATGCTATTTCCTGTGACTTATTCAACAGACAAATAATATAAAGAGGTGCACCAGGAGCACATGATACGCCCGTCTCTTTTTCAACCAATAAAGTTCCATAACTCCTCAATGTCATATCAGAAATTTATAAAAAAAAAATAAAGGGAGCTTATTTTAATAGATATAAACCAGTCACCAAAGTTTCACGAAAACTGCTGAAAGCTTTTTTGAGTTATTGTCCGAAAACGAGAAAATTCACTGTTTTTTTTTAATAAAATCTCATAACTCGGAAACTTAAAATCTAAAATTTATAAAAATCGAAAGGGAACTTACGTCAATAGATATATATAATTTACCAAAGTTTCATGAAAATTGGTTAAAGTGTTTTTGAGTTATTGTTCGACATGTTGACTGGATGATCGGAGGTATACATAATAAGTCCCTTAAAAGGGCGTATAATATTGAAAATTTTAATATTTGCAAAATTCTTTAAGCTATTCCACAATATATGGCGCAATATGAATGCAACCCAACTGTGAAATTACATGGTTTCTATGTTTAAAACTTTACAGGGCATTGATTACACGAAATGGGCATCCACTTTTCCATGCCTGCCTGTCCACTGACCCAACATTACCATACTAGAAAATCATGTTTATACTTCATGCAACCTGCCCAAAAAATAGTTCAGAAATGAAAGGTGTGTGGTTTCAAATAAACTTACCTTTTTAATTTTACATGCTTATCTTACCAAAATGTGATGTAAAGCTCTAATATCTTTATTGAAGTTAAACTGTTGCTGTAGTACATCTCTGACTGTGCCATCTTTACTCAATTTCTAAAACAAAAACAACTATATATGTATACATCTTGGGTTTTTCAAACTGTTGGTGCCTATCATTGGCAAAGAGAGATAATCCAGGAAAGAAGACATATATCAATCTATTGCATTGGTATGTTGGACTTTTAACTGTTAGTGTAAATTCCTTATATTCTTTTGCTAAAATGAACCCTCAATTACTAGTGAGCTGTGTCGGATATAAATCGACCTTATGCAAGAACACAAATACATGTACATGTAAAAGACTTTGATTAATAATGGAACATTCAAATACAAACTGAAAAACGAATTTAGGTCTGTTTTGTAGGGTTCTTATAACAACTCAATTTTCAAACAGTTATGACTTTGCACAGAGATTTTGTTAACCCTAAATGGGATAAGAAGATATATTGATATTCATTTGCATAAGGTCAATTTCTAGTCAAGTAAAGCCAACAAAACAATTTGAAAACAGGTCAGTCTAAATTAACCAGACTTTTGAAAATGTCATATTTAATATGAATAATATATAATAAACAGAAACCAAACAACATCAACAACAATAAGCCATTAAATGGTCAATATGCAGTCTCTAACAATATATTTCTTTACAATACGTCAAGCTCTATATTGTGCCGAGTCAACCATTTTTTACACAACATTTAGTGGTTTTTGATCCATTCAATTAAATGCCCATTCAGCATTATTTTATTACAAAACATTAGGTAAATTACAATCTCATAATGTTTCGAACCATTAATAAGTTGTAAACAAATGTAAAAGTGTAAAATATTTCTTTGATGAAAGAGTGATGTCCCCTGAATAAAGAACTTACTTCCACTCTTTCATTCTCTTTAATGAAAGAGTGGTGTCCCCTGAATAAAGAACTTACTTCCACTTGTTTATTCCATTCTTTAATGAAGGAGTGGTGTCCCCTGAATAAAGAACTTACTTCCACTTGTTTATTCCACTCTTTGATGAAATCACTGCCGACTGGTTTTGATTCTATTCTTAAGTAAGACATACAAATGTCGCAATAATTCTCAAAATTATAGTTGTTTAGGAAATACACTTGGCGATGTGAAAACCTTGACTTCACTCTCTTCTCAAGAAGTTCTATAACATCCTGTAATATCAGAGAGAAAATTACGGAATAATTGTATCGTATTATTTTTCCATAAAAGTGACATAAGTTATATGTAAATACTGGACCTATCAGACATATATGTATTTGAAATGTTGTATTGAACATATTTTTCAATTCAAGTTTTTTTATAGGTTTTTTCTCTAGTATATGGGAGATAACCCATGAAACATAAAATATGTTTTATAAGTAAGTCTGACAAGTCCTCTACTTTATGTGACGTGTTACTGGTGTATACACTAATGTAGCTTTACTTTATGCCTCAATGAAGTAGTCAGTGAATGCAAATGAGTATCCTTTCCACAAGAGTATATATATATATTTCCAATATGATTTGGTATTGAATGACACAACCAATTTGGCATCTTCCTTGGTGTCATTGCAAGGTATTTTCAGGTGGTTCAAAATTTAAATCATTATCCCTGCCTCGTCAAATTCATTTTTAAATATGGCAGAGAAGATAAAGAATTTTTTTGGTATGTCATAACCAAACAAAGTTCTTGCATATTCATATTTGATAAGGAAATAGGTGTATGGTCCATATACATATCCTACTAGACTAGATGTGACACTTACTAGAGGGTAGTAAAGGGTTATTTTTGTGTAACATGATCGCTGTTTTTTATTTGACTTTCAAAGTGTTTTTACTTTTTTTTATTTGACGTTCAGTGGTGCAAGATAGGTGTTTTTTCAACATGTACTGCTTATCTAATTTTAAGTGCATTGTGATTTTCAAATGTTAATTTTGCATGCTCCGTATTTTTCAAATAAAATTCAAACACTTGGCAGGGATCGTTCAGAAAAAATGGATTCAAATTTTTTTTTTTGATAGAGTGGAAAGGCCTTTGATGTTGTTCCTTATCGATTTTGGAGCTTCCATAATATATGTACTGGTTTCCAGTCTTGGTAAGCAATTCTATATACATTATGACTTCATAATAAGTTAAAACCTGATACGTTTTTTCGGATCTCCTAGATACATGCTTCTTCATTGCAGATTCTTTGAATTCTTTAAATTTTTTGGTAAAATGACAAGTATGACTAAATAGGACTTCTTAACAATGATGAACTTTAACATGTTTGCACTTTTCATCATCTGTCAGTTAAAACTTCCTATTTCTGATACTTTGAACCACCAGTCGAGGTAGCTGGTGGCATGATTAACATGACGAGGTGTGTATTCCTGTTAATAAAGACAATGAAATACATCAAGAATACACTTTCGTGTCAGTGGGATATTTGCATTTTAAAAGTTCAGTAGATCGTTATATACTATTTTAAAAGCCGTAAACCATTTATATCATAAAATATACAGGAAGACAGTGAATCTGTCACAAAAGATCACATCAAAGTTTTCATTTTCTGTGCATAGTTCATGACATCAAATTATGTCTTATTTCACGTTTTTTTTTCTGTGCAAGCACCCTCCATTACCACCATCTTACTACAGTTACAGTTATAGTTTAAACATAAGTGTACTTACAAGTCTACATGTCACACCCACTACACATATCGGTGCCTGGTCCGACTGGGCAATGTCAAACAAATTATATAACAATGTCTGGTTTTTGTGGTGGGCAAACATATCAAACTCTTCCAGGATAAACAGGATTGGCTTAGAACTCTGACTTCCTATAAAACAGAGACCAGAGGATAAACAGGATTGGCTTAGAACTCTGACTTCCTATAAAACAAGAGACCAGAGGATAAACAGGATTGGCTTAGAACTCTGACTTCCTATAAAACAGAGACCAGAGGATAAACAGGATTGGCTTAGAACTCTGACTTCCTATAAAACAAGAGACCAGAGGATAAACAGGATTGGCTTAGAACTCTGACTTCCTATAAAACAGAGACCAGAGGATAAACAGGATTGGCTTAGAACTCTGACTTCCTATAAAACAGAGACCAGAGGATAAACAGGATTGGCTTAGAACTCTGACTTCCTATAAAACAGAGACCAGAAGATAAACAGGATTGGCTTAGAACTCTGACTTCCTATAAAACAGAGACCAGAAGATAAACAGGATTGGCTTAGAACTCTGACTTCCTATAAAACAGAGACCAGAAGATAAACAGGATTGGCTTAGAACTCTGACTTCCTATAAAACAAGAGACCAGAGGATAAACAGGATTGGCTTAGAACTCTGACTTCCTATAAAACAAGAGACCAGAGGATAAACAGGATTGGTTTAGAACTCTGACTTCCTATAAAACAGAGACCAGAGGATAAACAGGATAGGCTTAGAACTCTGACTTCCTATAAAACAGAGATCAGAGGATTAACAGGATTGGCTTAGAACTCTGACTTCCTATAAAACAGAGACCAGAGGATAAACAGGATTGGCTTAGAACTCTGACTTCCTATAAAACAAGAGACCAGAGAATGAACAGGATTGGCTTAGAACTCTGACTTCATATAAAACAGCGACCAGAGGATAAACAGGATTGGTTTAGAACTCTGACTTCCTATAAAACAGAGACCAGAGGATAAACAGGATAGGCTTAGAACTCTGACTTCCTATAAAACAGAGACCAGAGGATTAACAGGATAGGCTTAGAACTCTGACTTCCTATAAAACAGAGACCAGAGGATTAACAGGATTGGCTTAGAACTCTGACTTCCTATAAAACAGAGACCAGAGGATAAACAGGATTGGCTTAGAACTCTGACTTCCTATAAAACAGAGACCAGAGGATAAACAGGATTGGCTTAGAACTCTGACTTCCTATAAAACAGAGACCAGAGGATAAACAGGATTGGCTTAGAACTCTGACTTCCTATAAAACAGAGACCAGAGGATAAACAGGATTGGCTTAGAACTCTGACTTCCTATAAAACAGAGACCAGAAGATAAACAGGATTGGCTTAGAACTCTGACTTCCTATAAAACAAGAGACCAGAGGATAAACAGGATTGGCTTAGAACTCTGACTTCCTATAAAACAGAGACCAGAGGATAAACAGGATTGGCTTAGAACTCTGACTTCCTATAAAACAGAGACCAGAGGATAAACAGGATTGGCTTAGAACTCTGACTTCCTATAAAACAGAGACCAGAGGATAAACAGGATTGGCTTAGAACTCTGACTACCTATAAAACAGAGACCAGAAGATAAACAGGATTGGCTTAGAACTCTGACTTCCTATAAAACAGAGACCAGAAGATAAACAGGATTGGCTTAGAACTCTGACTTCCTATAAAACAGAGACCAGAAGATAAACAGGATTAGCTTAGAACTCTGACTTCCTATAAAACAAGAGACCAGAGGATAAACAGGATTGGCTTAAAACTCTGACTTCCTATAAAACAAGAGACCAGAGGATAAACAGGATTGGTTTAGAACTCTGACTTCCTATAAAACAAGAGACCAGAGGATAAACAGGATTGGTTTAGAACTCTGACTTCCTATAAAACAGAGACCAGAAGATAAACAGGATTGGCTTAGAACTCTGACTTCCTATAAAACAGAGACCAGAAGATAAACAGGATTGGCTTAGAACTCTGACTTCCTATAAAACAAGAGACCAGAGGATAAACAGGATTGGCTTAGAACTCTGACTTCCTATAAAACAGAGACCAGAGGATAAACAGGATTGGCTTAGAACTCTGACTTCCTATAAAACAAGAGACCAGAGGATGAACAGGATTGGCTTAGAACTCTGACTTCATATAAAACAGCGACCAGAGGATAAACAGGATTGGTTTAGAACTCTGACTTCCTATAAAACAGAGACCAGAGGATAAACAGGATAGGCTTAGAACTCTGACTTCCTATAAAACAGAGACCAGAGGATTAACAGGATTGGCTTAGAACTCTGACTTCCTATAAAACAGAGACCAGAGGATAAACAGGATTGGCTTAGAACTCTGACTTCCTATAAAACAGAGACCAGAGGATTAACAGGATTGGCTTAGAACTCTGACTTCCTATAAAACAGAGACCAGAGGATAAACAGGATTGGCTTAGAACTCTGACTTCCTATAAAACAAGAGACCAGAGGATAAACAGGATTGGTTTAGAACTCTGACTTCCTATAAAACAGAGACCAGAGGATAAACAGGATAGGCTTAGAACTCTGACTTCCTATAAAACAGAGACCAGAGGATAAACAGGATAGGCTTAGAACTCTGACTTCCTATAAAACAGAGACCAGAGGATTAACAGGATTGGCTTAGAACTCTGACTTCCTATAAAACAGAGACCAGAGGATAAACAGGATTGGCTTAGAACTCTGACTTCCTATAAAACAGAGACCAGAGGATAAACAGGATTGGCTTAGAACTCTGACTTCCTATAAAACAGAGACCAGAGGATAAACAGGATTGGCTTAGAACTCTGACTTCCTATAAAACAGAGACCAGAGGATAAACAGGATTGGCTTAGAACTCTGACTTCCTATAAAACAGAGACCAGAAGATAAACAGGATTGGCTTAGAACTCTGACTTCCTATAAAACAAGAGACCAGAGGATAAACAGGATTGGCTTAGAACTCTGACTTCCTATAAAACAGAGACCAGAGGATAAACAGGATTGGCTTAGAACTCTGACTTCCTATAAAACAGAGACCAGAGGATAAACAGGATTGGCTTAGAACTCTGACTTCCTATAAAACAGAGACCAGAGGATAAACAGGATTGGCTTAGAACTCTGACTACCTATAAAACAGAGACCAGAAGATAAACAGGATTGGCTTAGAACTCTGACTTCCTATAAAACAGAGACCAGAAGATAAACAGGATTGGCTTAGAACTCTGACTTCCTATAAAACAGAGACCAGAAGATAAACAGGATTAGCTTAGAACTCTGACTTCCTATAAAACAAGAGACCAGAGGATAAACAGGATTGGCTTTAAACTCTGACTTCCTATAAAACAAGAGACCAGAGGATAAACAGGATTGGTTTAGAACTCTGACTTCCTATAAAACAAGAGACCAGAGGATAAACAGGATTGGTTTAGAACTCTGACTTCCTATAAAACAGAGACCAGAAGATAAACAGGATTGGCTTAGAACTCTGACTTCCTATAAAACAGAGACCAGAAGATAAACAGGATTGGCTTAGAACTCTGACTTCCTATAAAACAAGAGACCAGAGGATAAACAGGATTGGCTTAGAACTCTGACTTCCTATAAAACAGAGACCAGAGGATAAACAGGATTGGCTTAGAACTCTGACTTCCTATAAAACAAGAGACCAGAGGATGAACAGGATTGGCTTAGAACTCTGACTTCATATAAAACAGCGACCAGAGGATAAACAGGATTGGTTTAGAACTCTGACTTCCTATAAAACAGAGACCAGAGGATAAACAGGATAGGCTTAGAACTCTGACTTCCTATAAAACAGAGACCAGAGGATTAACAGGATTGGCTTAGAACTCTGACTTCCTATAAAACAGAGACCAGAGGATAAACAGGATTGGCTTAGAACTCTGACTTCCTATAAAACAGAGACCAGAGGATTAACAGGATTGGCTTAGAACTCTGACTTCCTATAAAACAGAGACCAGAGGATAAACAGGATTGGCTTAGAACTCTGACTTCCTATAAAACAAGAGACCAGAGGATAAACAGGATTGGTTTAGAACTCTGACTTCCTATAAAACAGAGACCAGAGGATAAACAGGATAGGCTTAGAACTCTGACTTCCTATAAAACAGAGACCAGAGGATAAACAGGATAGGCTTAGAACTCTGACTTCCTATAAAACAGAGACCAGAGGATAAACAGGATAGGCTTAGAACTCTGACTTCCTATAAAACAGAGACCAGAGGATTAACAGGATTGGCTTAGAACTCTGACTTCCTATAAAACAGAGACCAGAGGATAAACAGGATTGGCTTAGAACTCTGACTTCCTATAAAACAGAGACCAGAGGATTAACAGGATTGGCTTAGAACTCTGACTTCCTATAAAACAGAGACCAGAGGATAAACAGGATTGGCTTAGAACTCTGACTTCCTATAAAACAAGAGACCAGAGGATAAACAGGATTGGTTTAGAACTCTGACTTCCTATAAAACAGAGACCAGAGGATAAACAGGATAGGCTTAGAACTCTGACTTCCTATAAAACAGAGACCAGAGGATAAACAGGATAGGCTTAGAACTCTGACTTCCTATAAAACAGAGACCAGAGGATTAACAGGATTGGCTTAGAACTCTGACTTCCTATAAAACAGAGACCAGAGGATAAACAGGATTGGCTTAGAACTCTGACTTCCTATAAAACAGAGACCAGAGGATAAACAGGATTGGCTTAGAACTCTGACTTCCTATAAAACAGAGACCAGAGGATAAACAGGATTGGCTTAGAACTCTGACTTCCTATAAAACAGAGACCAGAGGATAAACAGGATTGGCTTAGAACTCTGACTTCCTATAAAACAGAGACCAGAAGATAAACAGGATTGGCTTAGAACTCTGACTTCCTATAAAACAAGAGACCAGAGGATAAACAGGATTGGCTTAGAACTCTGACTTCCTATAAAACAGAGACCAGAGGATAAACAGGATTGGCTTAGAACTCTGACTTCCTATAAAACAGAGACCAGAGGATAAACAGGATTGGCTTAGAACTCTGACTTCCTATAAAACAGAGACCAGAGGATAAACAGGATTGGCTTAGAACTCTGACTACCTATAAAACAGAGACCAGAAGATAAACAGGATTGGCTTAGAACTCTGACTTCCTATAAAACAGAGACCAGAAGATAAACAGGATTGGCTTAGAACTCTGACTTCCTATAAAACAGAGACCAGAAGATAAACAGGATTAGCTTAGAACTCTGACTTCCTATAAAACAAGAGACCAGAGGATAAACAGGATTGGCTTAAAACTCTGACTTCCTATAAAACAAGAGACCAGAGGATAAACAGGATTGGTTTAGAACTCTGACTTCCTATAAAACAAGAGACCAGAGGATAAACAGGATTGGTTTAGAACTCTGACTTCCTATAAAACAGAGACCAGAAGATAAACAGGATTGGCTTAGAACTCTGACTTCCTATAAAACAGAGACCAGAAGATAAACAGGATTGGCTTAGAACTCTGACTTCCTATAAAACAAGAGACCAGAGGATAAACAGGATTGGCTTAGAACTCTGACTTCCTATAAAACAGAGACCAGAGGATAAACAGGATTGGCTTAGAACTCTGACTTCCTATAAAACAAGAGACCAGAGGATGAACAGGATTGGCTTAGAACTCTGACTTCATATAAAACAGCGACCAGAGGATAAACAGGATTGGTTTAGAACTCTGACTTCCTATAAAACAGAGACCAGAGGATAAACAGGATAGGCTTAGAACTCTGACTTCCTATAAAACAGAGACCAGAGGATTAACAGGATTGGCTTAGAACTCTGACTTCCTATAAAACAGAGACCAGAGGATAAACAGGATTGGCTTAGAACTCTGACTTCCTATAAAACAGAGACCAGAGGATTAACAGGATTGGCTTAGAACTCTGACTTCCTATAAAACAGAGACCAGAGGATAAACAGGATTGGCTTAGAACTCTGACTTCCTATAAAACAAGAGACCAGAGGATAAACAGGATTGGTTTAGAACTCTGACTTCCTATAAAACAGAGACCAGAGGATAAACAGGATAGGCTTAGAACTCTGACTTCCTATAAAACAGAGACCAGAGGATAAACAGGATAGGCTTAGAACTCTGACTTCCTATAAAACAGAGACCAGAGGATAAACAGGATTGGCTTAGAACTCTGACTTCCTATAAAACAAGAGACCAGAGGATAAACAGGATTGGCTTAGAACGACTTCCTATAAAATAAGAGACCAGAGGATAAACAGGATTGGCTTAGAACTCTGACTTCCTATAAAACAGAGACCAGTGGATAAACAGGATTGGCTTAGAACTCTGACTTCCTATAAAACAGAGACCAGAGGATAAACAGGATTGGCTTAGAACTCTGACTTCCTATAAAACAGAGACCAGAGGATAAACAGGATTGGCTTAGAACTCTGACTTTCTATAAAACAGAGACCAGAGGATAAACAGGATTGGCTTAGAACTCTGACTTCCTATAAAACAGAGACCAGACGATAAACAGGATTGGTTTAGAACTCTGACTTCCTATAAAACAGAGACCAGAGGATAAACAGGATAGGCTTAGAACTCTGACTTCCTATAAAACAGAGACCAGAGGATAAACAGGATTGGCTTAGAACTCTGACTTCCTATAAAACAAGAGACCAGAGGATAAACAGGATTGGCTTAGAACTCTGACTTCCTATAAAACAAGAGACCAGAGGATAAACAGGATTGGCTTATAACTCTGACTTCCTATAAAACAAGAGACCAGAGGATGAACAGGATTGGTTTAGAACTCTGACTTCCTATAAAACAGAGACCAGTGGATAAACAGGATTGGCTTAGAACTCTGACTTCCTATAAAACAGAGACCAGAGGATAAACAGGATTGGCTTAGAACTCTTGACTTCCTATAAAACAGTGACCAGAATTTAAGGACAATTTAGTCATTAAGGCCTCACATATTTAATATCTAATTCTTGGGTCATTTGCCCAAAAATATACGGGCTGTGTAAGCAATTTTTTTTAAAGGCACATGCTCTACAAGAAAAGCAAGCAATATAATTAAACAAAAAATATTGTGTGTTTTAAAAGTGGTATAAACAATTCATGTACATGTTATAACTGGGCTACAGAAAATCAATGAAGACAACAGATGGTCTAATGTATACATAATAATATATTGATGTCAGTACCATATCCGACTTGCTTGCCTCACCATGGTTTAGTTGACTTGTAATTTTTCATGCCTGCTTTGGTCTGTGTGAAATTGCATTTAAATCCATATAGTTCAGACAGTATAGCAACCACTGTAACTTTTTTTTACACAAAAGTTTAAACTTTTCTTTTGTACATATCTGTTCAAGGTCTATTAATTCAGTGTGGTTTCAATGAAATTCAGTCAAGAGTTTTACAAAAGAAAGTATGCTTATTCAGTAAATGACACATGTTGAATAAAATTAAAATATGTCTGTATCTAAGCTTCTGCCCCTGATATTGTACAGCAATTGTTTTCATTCTATGATAAAGATTGTTTGATTGATGCTTAGATTCTATTATTACTCTCAGATCTGTACTTGTGTCTTTTGTGGTTTTAGTTAAGTTTTTTGTGTGCTTTGCATTAATCTGATGAGTTAAAATTTTCAACTGATTTTTATAGTTTATTACACCATTGTCCAAGGTTAAGGAGGGGGGAATGGCCACAGCCACAGTCATATCTTGTGCCTGTCCCAAGTGAGGAGCCAGTAAATCAGTGGTTATCGTTTGTTGCTGTATATTCTATTTGTTTTTCGTTCAGTGTTTTGTACATAAATCAGGCTGTTAGTTTTCTCTTTGAATTGTTTCACATTTGTCATTTTGGGGCCTTTTATAGCTGACGATGAGGTATGGGTATTACTCATTGTTGAAGGCCGTACAGTGACCTATAGTTGTTAACTTCTACGTCATTTGGTCTCTGGTGGTGAATTGTCTCATTGGCAATCATACCATATCTTCTTATTTTTATATTCATGCATATAGAGCATCAAAATAATGAGTGAGTTTAAAATTTCTTATTTAAACTAAAACATTAACATGCTCAGCAAGATGTTTATCTTGATAGCTCCCAATGTATCATAAATTTCCCTTGAAATGCCTGCAACCCCATTCAAATCTCCCTTGAAATGCCTGCCACCTCATTCAAATCTCCCTTGAAATGCCTGCCACCCCATTCAAATCTCCCTTGAAATGACTGCCACCCCATTCAAATCTCCCTTGAAATGCCTGCCACCCCATTCAAATCTCCCTTGAAATGCCTGCCACCCCATTCAAATCTCCCTTGAAATGCCTGCCACCCCATTCAAATCTCCCTTGAAATGCCTGCCACCCCATTCAAATCTCCCTTGAAATGCCTGCCACCCCATTCAAATTTCCCTTGAAATGCCTGCCACCCCATTCAAATCTCCCTGGAAATGCCTGCCACCCCATTCAAATTTCCCTTGAAATGCCTACCACCCCATTCAAATCTCCCTTGAAATGCCTACCACCCCATTCAAATTTCCCTTGAAATGCCTACCACCCCATTCAAATTTCCCTTGAAATGCTTGCCATCCCATTCAAATCTCCCTTGAAATGACTGCCACCCCATTCAAATTTCCCTTGAAATGCCTACCACCCCATTCAAATCTCCCTTGAAATGCCTACCATCCCATTCAAATTTCCCTTGAAATGCCTACCACCCCATTCAAATTTCCCTTAAAATGCCTGCCACCCCATTCAAATCTCCCTTGAAGTGCCTACCACCCCATTCAAATCTCCCTTGAAATGCCTACCACCCCATTCAAATCTCCCTTGAAATGCCTACCACCCCATTCAAATCTCCCTTGAAATGCCTGCCACCCCATTCAAATTTCCCTTGAAATGCTTGCCACCCCATTCAAATCTCCCTTGAAATGCCTACCACCCCATTCAAATTTCCCTTGAAATGCCTGCCACCCCATTCAAATTTCCCTTGAAATGCCTGCCACCCCATTCAGATACATTTTTCAGACTCTGATACAACCACTCTTTTCTTTTACTCCTACAATCAACAAATACTTTAAAATTCCTTATCTTGACTAGTTGATGAACCACTGACCTCCCTCTATTATGGCAAGCATCCCAATCACAAGACCACCTCTTTACCATGTTGCTACTCTTCGAATTCCATCTTACAAAACATGCTTGCATGCCAAAAGACTAGCAGGTGATATATGGTTTCATCAAAATCAAATAATTTTGTCATTTTTCTGTTTAACATGGTGTTATCTGGCCTTGTTATTGTATATATTTGTTGACTGTTCTCTTGATGTCATTTTATTAACTTTTTGGTACTGGTTAACATGTATTCTAATTAGTTTTTTGTTTTGTTTATCCTTTACTATCTACTTTGACTATCTGCCTTAGTTTCTTACCACATTTCAATGCATCCAATAAGAACTGGAGAGTCTCTGCAAATGAACCCTGTAAAGGAAAATCAGATGACCAATCAAAACAGTCTGTATGAACAGAAATGCATATATTTAACTATTTTTCAACAGATATACATGTACAGTCGACTCCACTTAATCGCATACCGCTTAATAGCATAATTCGGTTAATTGCATAACTTTCTCCTGCACGAAACCATTTCCCATTCATCTAATGTTAAATTATCCGGTTATATGCATAGCCTTAAAAGTGGCCTTTCAGTTAATTGCATAGAAAATAATTGCCAGCTAGATATGCTAGTTCAAACTGACAAGATTTTTGACCGGAAACGGCAATTTGGTAAGTATATTTTTCTTGAATGCATCATTATTTTCGTTATTATTTCATATTCACTTTTGTGTTATTAAAATAAAGTTTTAAAACAGTTTCTTTCGTGTTTATATGATAAAGTTTTACTTTAAAATAATTGTCGATGTGTACACAGGTGAAGTTTCCCATGTTCTATTTTAAGCCTCGAGGTCATAAAATGTCAAACAGCTAATTGTTGTAAAAACATGACCATTCTATCCCAAAAGGTGTTAATTATTGATTGGATTTTAAGCATTGTCCATAGATAACATTTGGGGTGAATTTTAAAAACAATAACGCCTGCTAATTTACTTTGAAAGACCATCCAATGTGTACTCTCGCAATTCGGCTTGGGGTGATTTGCATTTATGTTAAACATTACAGGGCATTTATATATGGTTGAAGAATTTTATTTGTCAGTCATTTATTTTTATTATTTTTGGAAAAGAGCATTCACTTCTAATTATTATATTTTCACACGTTCAACACTGGTGTCCAGCAAATAACCTGTACAGGGCCCCTTTACCTGTTTACTGCTTTGCATATACGAAACTAACGAGGTTAAAGAAACAGTGTTACATCACTGTGCAAGCGGTAAATACTGCATATCAAAGGCAGTTCATTACACATTTATTGCTAAAAATGATAATAAACTGTGTAGTATAGTTGAACAGTTTATTTCAATCAAAGCGTAATGATGTACATTGTACATACAGGTCATAGAAACAAATCTATTTTTAAAACAATTGTTCTAATTTTGTATCCCAGGTAAAGGAAACGTCGGTACGCAAATAAACTAAAACAAAATGTGTTTATAAACTTTATTAAAAGTATACAAAATACAATAACATGAATAACATTAGACTTATAACTTTTATTAGAATAAATCAAACATTCAACATGTTGTAAGTGGATTATGGCCGTTCAACTTTCTTCAGGGATTTCCTTTACTGATCTTTACTGTCGATGTTATTTGACTCCGTAATTTGGCATTTCAGATATAAGCATACTCCGCTTAATTGCATAATTTTGTCTGACAAATAGGCTATGCAAATAACCGGAATCGACTGTATCTGAATATTATTTTGTTATTTGGAGAATTTGGTGTTAATTGTAAATCTCATATCGTCTCTTTTTGATCATCTTCCCTAGGCAAGGGTTACGATCCAGTCCCTTCCTCTCTACCCTTGGTGGATTGAGATAGAATTTCGATGTAGTAGTAATGGGCGTGACATTTATCTACCGGTAGATTGCGCAAGATTGTTATCACAAATGTTGGCTTGATCTGCCAAGGGTGGAGAGGAGGGGACTGGATCATAACCCTTGGCTAGCAAAGATGCTTTTTGATTAAATCACATTTTTTGACTCAGGGCAACATAGACCTTTACAATGTGTCTATCAATAATGAATGCAGTATATCATTGTAATATATTCAACTATTACGGAATAAGCAATATTTCAAACCACTTACAAAAACTTTATCACCCAGCGTGTTCTCCAGCTGTAACTGACGTGTGATTTCTTTCAATGCAATTTTATCATCTGTTTGTAGAAGTCCTATAATAACAAACCAAATCAAAAATTTAAATATATTTAACATATATCCTATACAACAATTGATATTGATAATGTCAATACATTTAACAAAACATCTATATATAAGATCAAACGAAATATGATGGTTTCTTTTATACATCTTGAATTTTGTTCTTTTTCTATAAACACAAATGTTCATTGTTCATATACTAACTATACTGATTGTTGCATAGTTCTGAGGACTAATTATAAAACTTTTATATTTGCTGCCTAAAAAACATGTTTTGACAGCTACCTAAACAACTGCTATTTAATTTGAAGATTTCTGGTGGCGTAATCCTGTAGTGACTTTGATTTTTTGCAATAGAAAAAACATACACAAAGAGCTCTTGCAAGGGTTATTAACTTGCAGAGAGTATGGAATGCCTTCTACACGAGGCATCAGATTTTAAGTCCACATTCTGACTAGACATCCCTTTGTAATAAGTTTGGAAATTATTGAGTCCTCGAAGTGATTTAGAGACACCTATCTATTGTTGAAGGCCATATGTATACCTCTCAATATATATTCTTGCTTTCTGTGTATTGTGATGTTGCTGACTCATTCACATATACAAAATCACCTGTCAGACCTTATATTTTCTTTTGTAATAATTTATTACCATTTAACTTGACTTGTAGTAAGTTTTCTCTGATGTTATCATCCTCAATCAGTTCATTATAAATACTGTTCAATGTCTATAAAAGATAATAAATAAATACTGCATTCTGTTTATACTGGGGGTTTCTAGGTATAACATATGCATCTACGTCTGCAACAATTCGTAGAATTGAAGTGTCAAATGAAGGCTGCAAATAAGATCGTATCTAATAAATTGGTAACTAAAATGTTCCAAAATGTAATGCATTTCTGTAACAAATTTACACAAATGAAAGGATTGAGCAAAAAATTAAAGAAAGATACCATTTTTAAAAAAGCCCTTAATTTTTTAAGAAAACATCATCTCTTTTAAAGACACTGTTATATTCCTATGTATATTATGATATAAAAGAAACAGGTGTGGTCAGCAGATACATTTGTATTACTTAAACACAATTTCCCAGTAAAACTATTTCAAATATAAAAATAACAAGCATTCTGTGAGTATTGCCTGGCAATACATAGTCCCCTACCGGTTAAAAATTCATTGTACTGGAACAAAATGCTAACTTGATCTATAACTTGTCAAGGTGTAAATATATAACAAATATCAAGTCAATATCTTCAAGCATAACGAAAAAAAATGTTGAAAATTGATTATTTAAGTGAATTTTCGAAGTCCAAGGACCATAACTCTGCAAAAAATCATTATACCTGAGCAAAATTCGAACTAGATCTGTAACTTGTCAAGTTAAAACTATATACCAATCATCAAATCAATATCTTCAAGCATGACCAAAACTAGAGGCTCTCGAGAGCCTGTGTCGCTCACCTGACTCTACTTTGGTTTGAGAAATCATGTAAAGATAGATAAAAATCATAACAGATACCCAAATAATGATTGAGGCCAAATTTTGATTAATATTGGTCCCGTTATTTAATAAAATATCCTGGTGGCCATCTTGAACAGTAAATCGGCAACAAAGTAGCAACACTTGGTCAGCACTTCATAAGGAACATTCATGCCATGTTTGGTTTCATTCCATTCAGTGGTACTCTAAAAGAAGACATTTGTATGTATTTCCCATAGGGTCCTATGTTAAACTAAGCCCCCCGCTGGCGGCCATCTTGGATGATGGATCGGCTACAAAGTAACAACACTTGGTCAGCATCTCATAAGGAAGATTCATGCCATGTTTGGTTTCATTCCATTCAGTGGTTCTCTAAAAGAAGACATTTGTATGTATTTCCCATAGGTCCTTTGTTAAACTAAGTCCCCTGCTATCGGCCATCTTTGATGATGGACCGACTGCAAAGTAACAACACTTGGTCAGCACCTCATAAGGAACATTCATGCCATGTTTGGTTTCATTCCATTCAGTGGTTCTCTAAAAGAAGACATTTGTATGTATTTCCCATAGGGTCCTATGTTAAACTAAGTCCCCCGCTGGCGGCCATCTTGGATGATGGATCGGCTACAAAGTAACAACACTTGGTCAGAACCTCATAAGGAACATTCATGCCATGTTTGGTTTCATTCCATTCAGTGGTTCTCTAAAAGAAGACATTTGTATGTATTTCCCATAGGGTCCTATGTTAAACTAAGTCCCCCGCTGGCGGCCATCTTGGATGATGGATCGGCTACAAAGTAACAACACTTGGTCAGCACCTCATAAGGAACATTCATGCCATGTTTGGTTTCATTCCATTCAGTGGTTCTCTAAAAGAAGTCATTTGTATGCATTTCCCATAGGGTCCTATGTTAAACTAAGTCCCCGGCTGGCGGCCATCTTGGATGATGGATCGGCTACAAAGTAACAACACTTGGTGAGCACCTCATAAGGAACATTCATGCCATGTTTGGTTTCATTCCATTCAGTGGTTCTCTAAAAGAAGACATTTGTATGTATTTCCCATAGGGTCCTATGTTAAACTAAGTCCCCCGCTGGCGGCCATCTTGGATGATGGACCGACTGCAAAGTAACAACACTTGGTCAGCATCTCATAAGAAACATGCATGCCATGTTTGGTTCCATTCCATTCAGTGGTTCTCTAAAAGAAGACATTTGTATGTATTTCCCATAGGGTCCTATGTTAAACTAAGTCCCCCGCTGGCGGCCATCTTGGATGATGGATCGGCTACAAAGTAACAACACTTGGTCAGAACCTCATAAGGAACATTCATGCCATGTTTGGTTTCATTCCATTCAGTGGTTCTCTAAAAGAAGACATTTGTATGTATTTCCCATAGGGTCCTATGTTAAACTAAGTCCCCCGCTGGCGGCCATCTTGGATGATGGACCGCCTGCAAAGTAACAACACTTGGTCAGCATCTCATAAGGAACATTCATGCCATGTTTGGTTCCATTCCATTCAGTGGTTCTCTAAAAGAAGACATTTTTATGTATTTCCCATAGGGTCCTATGTTAAACTAAGTCCCCCGCTGGCGGCCATCTTGGATGATGGATCGGCTACAAAGTAACAACACTTGGTCAGCACCTCATAAGGAACATTCATGCCATGTTTGGTTTCATTCCATTCAGTGGTTCTCTAAAAGAAGTCATTTGTATGCATTTCCCATAGGGTCCTATGTTAAACTAAGTCCCCCGCTGGCGGCCATCTTGGATGATGGATCGGCTACAAAGTAACAACACTTGGTCAGCACCTCATAAGGAACATTCATGCCATGTTTGGTTTCATTCCATTCAGTGGTTCTCTAGAAGAAGTTCAAAATGTAAAAAGTTAACGCCGACGACGGACGACGGACGCCAAGTGATGAGAAAAGCTCACTTGGCCCTTCGGGCCAGGTGAGCTAAAAACTGATTATTTGAATGAATTTTCTAAGTTCAAGGACCATAACTCTGCACAAAATCGTCCCCTAATGTAGGACCAATTTGTTAATAGGAGTGTTTATACCATTGTTTTTCCACTTCCTCTAGGTCCTATAACCAGTACAGAGTTACTCTCCCCAGTGGAAGCAGTTCTTTTGATCAAATCAAACAATTGCCTGTAAAATAATTCAGTAGATTTTTATTACTGTAGTTGAAACAAATTAGGCGTCCTCGAGGACATTTGTTATTAATTCTTAAATAATTGAGTTCTTGACTCTTAACAATTTTGCCTCAAATCAATTTATTGATTCAAATCATAACCAGATTGAAAATGTTTCTAGCTTGAAAAGCAGAGTTCATTTTTATAAGTCAACCAAAACTTAAGTCCAGTTTTAGAATTTTTCCAATAAGTGTATGTTCTCTTGCTCTGCCTTTGTCAGATCGATCATTGTTTAACGTCCAGCTGCAAATTAAATACTTTTTCAGAATGACATTGTGTCAATGTGAAACGAGTATGTCTCCTTACGTGGAAAAATATTCAGACTCCAGTCCGAAAAGTCTTTGCTCTTACTCCTTAATGTTGCTTGCCTGACAAAAAGGTAGTTAATATTAATTTTAAAGTCTTTGGTTTGAACTGGCTGTAGATCAAACAAAGGACCTCTTGCACTTGAGGCTAACACACTACCACAAGTGGTATTCTATACCCTTTATTCCGTTAGGAACAAATGCTGTAATATTTGTTCCAGCGGGAAATAATATAACAGAATATTTCTTCCACTAGGAACTTATATTATGAGGGAACTTCTATTTCATGATAACCGTTAATGCTGTAAACTTCTTACGTCAATTATATTAACACCAATATTACCTCCTTTCTTTTTCATAGCCATGTAATGCTGGTGACAGTGCATTCTGACTAAACCTCAGCCTGAGTTCATCCTGGACATTCTGTAAACTAGTTGTCTCCCCTGAGTCTGTCTCTTTAGTAGTTTTGCTTTTTCTTCTACTACTTTTCATTATTCTATGTTTATCTGGAAAAAATACAATCAACAATAAAAAGCTGGTCTTGAATGTTCTTGTTCATATTAAGGTTAATTATAAAAGTTTGATAAAAATGTCTTTAATTACAACAGGAGTTTAGACAATTCTGTGCAACTGGAAAAGTCATAATGCCTGGCAGGCTTGCAGCAACTAGATATGGAAAAGTGAAATACATTTTGTGCTTCAGAAATAAAAATCTTTTTAATTTTGATATTTATTATTTTTCTATCTCTGCAGAAGATTGGTAAACAAGAATGTGTCCATAGTACACGGATGCCACACTTGCACTATTATTTTCTGTGTTCAGTGGACCGTGAAATTGGGGTAAAAACTCTAATTTGGCATTAAAATTGAACAGATCATATCAAAGGGAACATGTGTACTAAGTTTCAAGTTGATTGGACTTCAACTTCAGCCAGCAAAAACTATCTTGACCAAAAACTTTTAACCTGAAGCGGGACAGACGGACGAACGAACGGACGCAGACATAATGCCCCTCTACTACCATAGGTGGGGCATAAAAAACCAACACCTTAATTTCATTTGATATTGTCCAGTCAGTTACACTGTTTAAATCACCTATTGTTGTGCATACACCTTTTCACCCTATGTTGTCCACATCAATCAATAAAAAACAATGCAACATGTAACCTGAGTGCGAGATCTCAAAGGTTTTACTCGTTTATTTTCATCACACCTGTAGCAACAAAAAGAAACCCCATCAATATCCAGGAGAACATTAAATTTAATGAAAGACAAAATGCATTTCACTTTTAGTAACATTGTTCAGTGTTATTAGTATAAATTTCTAGAATTATCTATCCTTACATTGAAATGATGCTGTGTAAACTGTATAGATGCTTATTTGTAATATATATGCATTATAACATGTGTACTGTCGGATGTGTTTGGATGATTAAAGATGGTACCTGAAATGGTGTTATGGATTGTTTACTCCAGTATAATCATCTGATAGAGACATTACACTTTATATATTAATTAATATATCAAGGTGCTGCCAGGCCTTATAGCTTATCAAGTTGCACACATCAGGTTTGTTTTCACACGAGATTTAACTTCATGGTGTAAATAGCCATTTCTGTCAAATGATTAGGATGAATTTAAATAATGAGGATACTGCAGCAGTGCTTCACTTGACCTAGTAGATATACTCGCCCTTCATTAGCTGTGCTAGTGGGAATACTCCTTGAACTCAGTTGGTAGCTATAGCAGTGGCTTACTGTGCCATGGGTCCCAGTTCAAACCCTAACTGATACAGTTGTAATTTTTGGGTGCTCCAACTGAAAAACCCACGATGCTTAGAAGAGATTTAAAGAGTTAAGCTGATGTTGGATGTTGAATATTGTCAAATTTTATAGAATAGCGACTCTTGAAGTGGGAAGAGTGAAGAGGTGCATCTCTAGCTGTTTTTCTACTTCAGCTCAGTTTGTAGAGAAGTATTATGCTAGAGCTCTGGCTAAAGTAGTAATTTTGGGAGACAAATATGCTATCGTTACGATAGATGTTCCAAACATCTGGGTATTTGAATACAAAGTTACTTCCCTTTATATTGTTGTTACTAGGGGTGGTGAAGCGATCCACCATTTTTATTGCAAGTTTTGATACATTCACAATGTTTAATGCACATTTCTGGTAATATATAGAACTGACAACATGCCCAAAACATGCTGTGCAGTTGGATGTCAAAACCACAACATGATGTTAAAGTCTTTATCATTCCATTAATTCCCGAAAGACAACGAATGCTCCAATATGTGGTTGACTGCATTCAAAAGAGACTGACAAGATGGTACACCTTGGATTCCTACCATTAGATATAAGATGTGGTATGAGTGCCAATGAGACAACTCTCAAACCAAGTCACAATTTATAAAAGTAAACCATTATAGGTCAAAGTATGGTCTTCAACACGGAGCCTTGGCTCACACCACACAGCAAGCTATAAAGGGCCCCAAAAATTACTAGTGTTCAACCATTCAAACGGGAAAACCAACAGTCTAATCTATATAAACTAGAGGCTCTAAAGAGCCTGTGTTGCTCACCTTGGTCTATGTGCATATTAAACAAAGGACACAGATGGATTCATGACAAAATTGGGTTTTGGTGATGGTGATGTGTTTGTAGATCTAACTTTACTAAACATTCTTGCTGCCTACAATTATCTTTATCTATAATGAATGGCCAAGTAGTTACAGTGGAAAATATTTTGTAAAAATTTACAAAAATTTACAAAATTTATGAAAATTGTAAAAATTGACTATAAAGGGCAATAACTCCTTAAGGGGTCAATTGACAATTTTGGTCATGATGACTTATTTGTAGATCTTACTTTGCTGTACATTATTGCTGTTTACAGTTTATCTCTATCTATAATAATATTCAAGATAATAACCAAAAGCTGCAAAATTTTCTTAAAATTACCAATTCAGGGGCAGCAACGCAACAACGTGTTGCCTGATTGGTCTGAAAATTTTAGGGCAGATAGATCTGGACCTAATGAACAATTTTATCCTGTCAGATTTGCTCTTAATGCTTTGGTTTCAGAGATGAGCCAAAAACTGCATTTTACCCTATGTACTATTTTTTAGCCATGTCGGCCATCTTGGTTCGCGGGCGGGGCCATCGGACACATTTTTTAAACTAGATACCCTAATGATGATTGTGGACAAGTTTGGTTAAATTTGTCTTACTAGTTTCAGAGGAGAAGATTTTTGGAAAAGATTACAAAAATTTACGAAAAATGGTTAAAAATTGACTATAAAGGGCAATAACTCCTTAAGGGGTCAACTGACCATTTTTGTCAAGTTGACTTATTTGTAGATCTTACTTTACTGAACATTATTGCTGTTTACAGTTTATCTCTATCTATAATAATATTCAAGATATTAACCAAAAACGGCAAAATTTCCTTAAAATTACCAATTCAGGGGCAGCAACCCAACAACGGGTTGTCAGATTCATCTGAAAATTTCAGGGCAGATAGATCTTGACCTGATAAACAATTTTACCCCATGTCAGATTTGCTCTAAATGCTTTGGTTTCAGAGATATAAGCCAAAATCTACATTTTACCCCTATGTTCTATTTTTAGCCATGGTGGCCATCTTGGTTGGTTGGCCAGGTCACCAGACACATTTTTTAAACTAGATACCCTAATGATGATTGTGGACAAGTTTGGTTAAATTTGTCTTACTAGTTTCAGAGGAGAAGATTTTTGTAAAAGATTACAAAAATTTACGAAAAATGGTTAAAAATTGACTATAAAGGGCAATAACTCCTTAAGGGGTCAACTGACCATTTTTGTCAAGTTGACTTATTTGTAGATCTTACTTTACTGAACATTATTGCTGTTTACAGTTTATCTCTATCTATAATAATATTCAAGATATTAACCAAAAAAGGCAAAATTTCCTTAAAATTACCAATTCAGGGGCAGCAACCCAACAAGGGGTTGTCAGATTCATCTGAAAATTTCAGGGCAGATAGATCTTGACCTGATAAACAATTTTACCCATGTCAGATTTGCTCTTAATGCTTTGGTTTCAGAGATATAAGCCAAAATCTACATTTTACCCCTATGTTCTATTTTTAGCCATGGCGGCCATCTTGGTTGGTTGGCCAGATCACCAGACACATTTTTTAAACTAGATACCCCAATGATGATTGTGGCCAAGTTTGGTCAAATTTGGCCCAGTAGTTTCAGAGGAGAAGATTTTTGTAAAAGTTTACGGACGACGGACGCCAAGTGATGAGAAAAGCTCACTTGGCCCTTTGGGCCAGGTGAGCAAAAAACAAGAAACAAGAAACACTTATTCACCACAAGAACATTTTGTTTCTGCTATGTACATTTGTTCATTTTATTTATTCATTTTATGCAAGAAAACTGCATTTCACATTTTTTAAATATTCCTATACTGAAGTCATATAACGCTAGAGTGTACACTTGCATGTTTTCTCTATTTATTTCTAAAATTCATACCGAAATGACTTTTAAAACAAAGTCTTCATGGGGTCATTTCTGGTAGGATTTAAATCAATTGAGTACCACTAGAAGCAGAACTGTTACAATTTATTTGGTAATATTATTTATGATATTAAGTTTTTGGTTCTGTTCATCAGGTCATTTAGTCACAGGTATTATTTTTTGTCAGGAGAGTTGCTATATATTTTAATTAAACTGAGAAAAAAAATACACATGCATATAATGTACTTCTACCGGAAAATGGCCACAATCAACAAACTGAATATTTTGCCATGACTTTGGTGCGCATACAGACCCCTCCCCCTCCCCCATAATGTTTGAATTTAGTTAAGCTTTGTCAACTTTAGTCAGCTTTCAAAGCCTCGACTGATGGTGCTGATACAACCCCAGGAGGGAGAGTGTTCCAATCTCTGATGGTTTGTGGAAAGAAAGAATATTTCCAATAATCACTTGATGATGCTGGAATTTGGAAGCTTCTGTCATTCATGCTTCTTGACAGTCGTTTGGGTGGCATCAGACAACCTTCCTTTGTCACTGCAACTTTCTCATTTATAATTTTGAAGAGCATGTTGAGTCTTGCATCTTTTAGCCTTTGTTCCAAAGATCTCCATTCTAAGTAATTGAGCATCTTGCTTTCACTTGAGTGATCATGGTGGTTATTCATCACATATCATGCTGCTCGTCTCTTGACCATCTCTAGTTGGTCAATCTCTGTTTTATAGTATAGATCCCATACTGGACTGGCGTATTCTGTTATAGGTCTTACAAGTGTTTTACACGCACTTTCTTTTACAGAAGTAGATCCAATGTTCAAATTTTGTTTTAGGAAGCCGATTGTTATATTGGCTTTGTTAGATACGTTATTTACATGGTCATCCCATTTCAGTTTGGATCTGAATGTGCAGTCTAGGTATTTGGCGCTTTTGACAGGTTCTAGAGTATGACCATGTAGATTGTAGATGTTGCAATGGTATTGTTTTTTCTGGCTGATGGTAAGTACATTGCACTTGTAGCTAGTTTATCTAGATCATGTAGATCTTTTTGTAGGTCGTTCCAATCTTTGACATTTGATATAGTAAGGTATGCTATAGTGTCATCTGCGAATAGACAGATAGTGGATTTAATTCCATCTGGCATGTTGTTGATGTAGAGCAGGAATAGTGACGGCCGAAGGAATGAGCCTTTGGGTACCCCAGACTCTACATCAACATGTGATGAGCTCTCTCCATCCACTACTACAGCTTGTGTCTGATGTGACAGGAAGCTTAGGCAATCCACCTATTGACATTTCCTCTAGTTCCATTTATGTACGAGGAGACTGTGACTGACCTTGTCGAACACTTTAGAAAAATCCATTATCAAGATGACTGTCTGTTTACCTGCACTCATGTTGTTGGTGATGTTGTCCACAAATTCAATAAGTTGGGTTTCGCAAGAACGTTTAGAACCAAAGCCGTGTTGTAATGGGTAGAGTATTTGTTGAGATCTGCATGGTTCATGATATGTACTGCATTATGAATTTTTAAAATCGGAATTGACCTCAATTAGTCACTGAATTGAATATGTTTTGTTCTTTGAAATGACTTTAAATTTCAACAAGCACTATTAAAGTCAGACTGGTTCCCCTGGGCTTCTAAAGCCAGTAACAACTCATTGAAAAATAAAATTATTTGGCGATCTATTGACCCTAAATAAATAATTTACAATAAAGATATGTTCTACAATATTTGCCTCATTGGTTCGAACATCTATCTTTAAAGAAAATACATGTGTATGCATTGTAATGCATTGGTCTAGTTTTGTGCATACCAATTAGCTGTCAATCAAAGTTATTTTCTTTCCTGTATTAGGTCATTAGACATTTGTTGACATGTTAAATGCCAATGATTTTGGAAATACAGTTTTATTTTTTTATGAAAAATTGCAATACCTGCACTTTACAATACTGCCAAATTGGAACCAGCCTCTTTGTTATGTATGTTTGTTGTTTTCGTCTGTGACATGTGGAAATTTCCCGCTGTTTATGAGAAATCTGTCTCCAACAGAGGAGAACTTCGGACCAATAGTTATCTCCCTTAAACAATTGGGCTGAACTATGGACCGTTGATATGATCATTGATGTAGATGTTTACGAAGCTTATCCAATCGTTCTAACAGAGATACAGTTACTTTTAAACACATATAGTGTAGGCAGTCTTTTTTAAAACATCACTTATCAGCTGAACTTGAAGTAGACTTGTTGGTTTACATAAATTTAGGCTCAGTCAGTGATACACCAGCTGTCAATCTATCTATTTTTTAGTACTCACTTTTTAATTCTACACATATTTTATTTTTTATTTATTGACTTGTACAGTTTATCCTTGTGTTGCTCTGCTGCACCAATGTCCAAGGTCTAGGGGGAGGGTTCGGCCCCACTATCATGTATGATGTTTTAAACCCTGTCACATTCTGTCAATCTCCGGCACAGACTACAGAGTTCACATCGTTCCATACATGCTTCGCAATACTTCACTTAATAGTTCTTTCCAAGTAGCATTTTCTAACAAGGTTGAATCATTCTATCCAAGGACTATCCGAGACAGGAGTGCCTTGTCCTGTCACCATGGTCACGGAATAGAAGTTCCTTCATAATATAAGTTCCAAATGGAAACAATATTCTGGAATATTATTTCCACTGGAATAAATATTACAGTATATGTTCCTAATGGAATAAATGGTATAGAATATTTGTTCCCAGGAACAGATATAATGACATTGTTTATAACAAAGTTTCCAGTGGAACTTCTGTTAGGCAGAACAAATATATGTTGACAGTCCACTACTATACTGCCACAGCCAAGAGTCTTTAATTATTAAAGCTTCAGTCACTTGATAAAAAAAAACATAAATCATTTTGTTATTACTTGCACAATTTGACCTGTGCAGCACCTATCCTGTTTGTTAATTATTATTAATTTCTTATTATTAAGCATATGGGCACACTGTTGTTTGACCAAAAGCTGCAGAATAATCATAAAAAATGCCATTGTGGCTACAGCAAAACAGGACTTTCTATACTAAAAGTCCCTAAGCAGCTAGAAGCACCAAATGGGAAATAGTTCCTCAAATGATTAACTACAAAATGTAGATATTATTCTAGTGTTGAAAAATATTTTTTATTAAATCAACATTTTACATCTGTACTTTAAATGGCACGGACATTCATCAGAAATCCACAACATTTTCAAAACTAATTTACAGAGAAGTTATAATTCTATGAAATCTACATAAAATCAAAAACTTTGAAATGCATTACCTTTAATGAAAATCCCAAATATTTGTATGGAAAATTGTTCCTGTTTCCATAAATGTGTGCCAGTTTAAGTAAAAAGACTTGGACATTGTCATGATTGTCAGCTAAAAAAAAAACTATAAAAAAATAACACTATCTTGACTATCAAAATGTTACTCAATGGAGGTATTGTTACTTATTTAGATAATAGTTCCCTATTTGAAGAGTTGTTCCAAACCTGTTAAACTTGTTTGGGAAGATCCTTATTAAAAGGTATTATCCCCAATATTAGAAATTTGCAATGATAAAAATAGAACTTTGCTTTTCATTATAATGGCTGTCATGAGGCACACATTACTGTATAAAGCAGAATTTCCCCTTTAACATGATTTAGATCACCATAAGTTCAAATGAGAACTGAATAAAAGTTAAAGGCCTTCAAAAATTCTATTCCTTGAAGACCATTAACGTTATCCAGATGATATAGACATACAATGTAGCAGTTTTATTTTAAGGTAGATAGGGTGTCTTCCTCCATCTTGGATTTTGAAATACCAGAAAACAATCGGTCTAGATCTTTAATAAAAGGTGCAAATTTTGAGAGTAGTAGGTAATTCATGTGTAAGAATTTTCATTTGAATATAGAAAATGACATATTTTATAATATTTATGGTTGTATTTTACAAAAAAAACAGAATACTTTTGTTTGATTATATTTTTTCCTATTTTTTTATTATTTATTAAGGGGAGGCAACTCAATTGTAAGGGCAGATAATTCAGATAAAGTTACTTTTACAATAGAATGTGTTAGGAATTTATCTTTTTTATTATGTAGCAAGAAAAAGGGTCCCGTGACCCCATTTTTTCTTTTTCTTATCTGAAAACATACTATTAGAGCTATCTTCTCATATTTTATCTCAAAATTCTATGGTGTAGTTTTCGTTTTATGGCAGAAAATTGGGTTTTCCATGCATAATCTATACAAAATCTGTCAATTTTGCACAACCTGTAGCGTGAAAATAAGCCCCGTGACCCATTCTTTTTATTATTTTTTTTTAAAAAGCATGATATAAACTACATTTTGGCAAATTATTAAAGAATTCTATGGATTATAATTTAGACACCCCATCTACCTTAAGTCTGAATATATATACACATAATTTACAAATTACTTGCAACATAAACTCTGTAGAGCTTTTTACCATTGAACACACATACTCACAATATAATACATATGGTATACAATAAGGTTACAGTTGCAAGCATGCTTAAACAGTATAGCATATGTATAAGTAGTCTAAGCAAAAGAAGCATTCCAGGCACTAATGCAAAAGTCTAATATTAAAATAGTGCATGTACAATGTAATATAAAATAAATAAATATAAACAGCACTCTGTTAAACAATATGAACCAACCAATAAAGTGTACATTTGAATTCAAAATAATATTACCTAAGATCTGTAGGAGCCACATCTACATAAGGTATTATTCCAGTTATTAACCCAATTTTTGTACTGGTTTAAAGTTGTTTGTTTGAGAATGTCATTTGGTAGCTCATTTCAGAGTATGGCCCAGAACATCTTACAGAGTGTAAGCCAAACTTAGTTGTTCTCACTTCAGGAATTTCTACAATAAGTATTAATAAGTGAAACAATGTCATGAAGATATGATTAACATCGTTGATGTAATATATTAAGGATTTCTACAGTCATAGTTCTTAATCTTCTAATTTTTAGCATGGATAAACCAGAGTTTATATAGGTAGGTAAATTTTCATATGTACCGTACTTGTATAGTCTTTATAGATGAATTGCAAGGCATGTTCTTGTATTATTTTCTCCACAAAGTTGCCAAACGACCGTACAATATTTAAAATTTGACAAAATAAACAGTCAATCTTCCCAATTTTGATAAATGTTTCCTGTTTCCTTGACAAATAAACTGAGTTTTCATTTGTTACAGGTTATATATCCAGAATAGGAGAATACATGAAGTGAAAAGAACTGTTTGCCATTATAAATTTCTGTAAAAATCTAAAAAGGAATGGCTTCAAGAGGCACTCAAGAAAATACAAAATTACGTCAAAATTTAGAAGAACAGCTTGACAGATTAGTTCAGCAGTTAGCTGATCTAGAGGAATGCAGGTTTGATCATAAATAGAAATATGAATAATAGGAGATGGCGGTATACAACAATGAGGCCACAATCCAGAAACACAAAATCAATGGAGAAAGATGTTAATAGGAAGATATGTTAATGAGATATAATCTACATATGTAAAAGTATTCAAGCCAATTTAACAAAATACTTATAAGAAATTGGATACACTAAACATGTCAAACTTGTAAAAAATTAAACTTGAAAACAGAAATCATTTGCTGGTCATGAATAGATCTGTATGATGTACAATATATGTGTAGTAGGTATAGGATTATTTGTAAAATGCAGAAATAAGGCTTGTTCCTAAAAAAAAATTAATGAACAAATGAATCGTCAATTTTACTGATTTGTTTGATAATTTTTATTGCAAGATTTAATATTTGCAATCAGCTTTTGAATTATAATTATATAAGATTATTATTTCATGTACTAATAATGATTTACAGAGAAGATTTAGAAGAGGAGGAGTATGAAGAAACAAAGAATGAAACAATTGACCAGTTGAAAGAATTTAAAGATTCATTGGATAAGATGACAAAAGGCAACGTCAGCCTGGTTGATGAACTAAATGGCATGCAGTTAGTAAGTAATTAATGAATTCAGGATCATCTTATTTTATTTCATAAAACAATATAGGAAACTGCAGTTACATGCATGTGAACTTTATTATAACAAAATAAGACATAAAGAGATGTGGTATGATTTTCAATTAAACAACTATTCATCAAAGACCAAATGAAAACAATGTTATCTTCAGATCACCATAAAGCTTTCAACAATTAACAAGACCTATAATGTATAGTAAACTAAAAAAAGGCCTGAAATGACAAAATATGACACAATTCTAGAGAAATGAATGGCCTAATTTAACCTAATGGCATTAAATTAAACATGAAATGGAAGACTACATATTGACAACCAATGTACTACAGGCACCTGGCTTGGGAAAGCTTATATGGAATATGGCATAGTTAAACATGTTTGTGAGTGCTCAATTGGAGATTCAGAATGGTAGTACTACTGCAGTATTGACAGAGTCCTTCATTTTTCACTTTGAATTGTATTTCTCCAAATTCTATCCACAAAATTTGATATGAAAATATTAGGCAGTCACTATATTATTTTTTACAGTAAATTTTAATTAGTCTCAATATGTAGCATGAAAAAAGAGTCAAAACAACAAAATATTCGCAATGAAAAAAAAAAATGTTTACAGCAATACCATAGAATTTTAATCAAAATTCTGTGGATGGACTAAATTTAAAGTGAAAAAAATGCGTATTTATGCTGCTTTTTACATACATTCTATACATCTACAGACCTATTTCAAAATTTTTGAGTCGACACTATCTTTGGAAGTATAAATGCTACAAATATAATTTTTTCGATATTCAGATACAGTTTAATGAATTCTAATTGCATACAAAATTTCATCAAAATCTGAAATATCTCTCAATTATGTTTATTTTGCAGGAATAAGTTGACATTTTCAAAAAGTATTGAATTACATTCTAATTTATTGTAGGCTATACAAGCAGCAATAAGTCAAGCTTTTAAAACTCCAGAAGTTATCCGTCTGTTTGCCAAGAAACAACCTGGACAACTGCGCCAAAGATTATCAGAGGTGAGTCACAGCATTTGCTGATAAAAAAAAACAAAACAGGGAACTGCATCTATGTTGATTACTTTTGATTTTGTTTCATAATAAAATACCAGGAAAAGATCCATAAAGGGAAATAAGAAATGAAACAAAAGTCGATTTGTTATTTCTTTATTATTTTCCTAGACTTATGACTTATTGTTAATACACTGGTAATAAAGAAGGTTGCCTAGAGTTTAATGATAGTTATACTTATGAACGACATAAATAAATAGCCCTGAAAGTACATAAATAACACATAATTACACAGACAATAGGGTGTACAAAGGGATATAACTCTAATCCATTTAACAGAAAGTACATGTCTAAAATATGATAAACTGGCTCTGTTCTATCTGAATACAACCAATACAATTAAAGTGTTTATTTAAGATGTATAAATCCAGTTGAATCAAATTATTTTCCAAATCAGGATTAAATGCTACATTCTGTCTAATGATAAAATGCTAATCACTTATTGTTTTATTAATGAAATATTTCTGTTACTATAATGTTTACATGTAATTGTCGACAATACAGGTAACTACTATTAATTTACAAGACAAACACTTCTTAAAAATATTGAACTTGAATTAAATAGACACACCGACAGAAAACTAAAAATATATTGAAACACTCATCTTACCATGTATATGGTACAAAGGTTGATTTCCTGTTATGTTAACATCACTACATCATTGTAGATACACCAACATATTCTGGTCCTTTACAAAATATAGTTACAACCCACATAAGTCTAATGAACTAAATTTTTTTTGCATAAAATTTACAAAAGACATTATCATTTTGTAATAATAATACACTGAACCGCAAAAGAAACGTATTTTCCGAAAACTAAAATTTTCAAATACACTGCAAATATTTATTTATTTATTTTGGTTTAGGTAAATTACCTTTAAATGATGCTATGATTATGTTTAAATCACTGTTACGACTTACTGCGTTCATTAATTCGGTTGTCCTAATATTGGTTCTGCTGGGTCCGTTGGACACGTTCCACAGTCAAATTTCATGATGATGATATGCACGTTGAATCTGTGCCTAATTAAGGGTATTCAAGAGGTGCCAAGTTTTTGTGTCATCATTATCTGTTTGATGCAGTACTAATGCCACGACTGAACCCACAACAAAGAGAACAGGCAATAGGATGTAAGAATGTTTGACAGCGGCCTCAAGTTGTTGCAAATGCATTAAACTGCAATGTACACACCATCCAATGTCTACGTGAACACTACCAGAGACCAATTAGTGATGATACAGTCCGATGTCGATTGAATTGTTGTAACCTGAGTTGTCGTTGTCCTGCTAGAGGCCCTATTCTCACACCACGTCATCGCCGTGAACAACTACAGTGGGCCATTCATCATCAAAATTGGCGACATCAGCAGTGGAGGATGGTAATCTTTTCAGAAGAAAGCCGTTACTGTATTTCAAATGAAGATGGCAGGACACTATTCTGGAGAAGACGGGGCGAAAGATACACTGATAACTGCATGATGGAAAGAGATGCATGGGGAGGTCCAAGCATTATGGTATGGGGTGGAATCGACTTAAACCAGAAATTAGGACCTGTTGTCTTCTAGAATCTTGGACCAAGTAGAGGAAATGGTGTCAATGCAGCTGGTATACTGATCAAGTTCTACGATTACATGTTGTGCCACATTTTGCACGCCATCATTTTTGCCTCAAATTACTGCGACGTTTCTTTTGCGGTTCAGTATATATCTGTACCAATACGTGTATCATTTAAATATCTATAAATTATTATTTCTTCTGACTTCATGAATATACTTCTTTAAAATAAAATATCTATTATTCATGTACAATCATTCTGATTTATTTAAAAATACAGATTCAAACTTTAATAATAGTGCCCATGTAAATTTACCTTATTAAAGCAGTAAAGCTTTAAAGATTATAAATTATTTTGATAATTTATTATTTATGTAATATTGGCATTTTTGGTTTTTCTAGGTTAAAAGAGATGAAAAAATTGGTAAATTACAAAGTGCAATGGCTACAGCACAGTGTGTGGAAATATTAACAGCTTTGAAGAAACTGGGAGAAATTTTGAGTCCTGAGGAGGAAATGTATCTACAAAATAATTCTAGTGCTAGTCTTAAACAATTTGAACAAGTATCAAGTGAATTGGGTAAGATATTAAGTTCTCTCTGTATGGATATAATTGACCTTATTTCTTTCAACGAATGTACTAAAACACTTGAAAAATAAATAAAAAATAACTTGACTTCACAATGTTTATTTCAATATTTTTATTGTAATAGAGGATTTTACTCCGTTGCATCAAACTTTGGTAAAGGTAGCACCTACACATTTTTTACAATGCAAATTCATTGAGATTTGTTTTGAGTCTCCATGAAATATTGCCAGACTGTCTGACAAATCTGACAATTATACAGTTGTGTAAACAAATATTTGCCACTGGCTGGTCAAAATGTCTGATCTCATATATTGGAGCCAAAATCAAATAAAAACTAGTTAAAGTATTATTCTTTGTTGCCCCCATCATTTTGTTTCATCCCATAACTTCTTTTAAAATTCATGTTTTATACTGAAAAAAAACTGCCATATTAAAAAAAAACACTACAATTTTGTGCATTCTACTTATCATGCACATATTATGTGATAAAGAGAGTAAATAGAAACCTGTTTAGGGGGGATGGTAATGATACTTTCAGAAATGACATCATATTAGCAATATTTTGTTAAATTCTTCATTCTGTCTTTAAACTTATTTGGTGTTGGTCAAATGTCATTAATGAAATAAAGTCAGTAACTGATCACAAACTGTTTGTTTTATTTTCAGCTGCTGGAGACAAAGTTTTGGATGTAGCAGGTTCACAAGTTAAAGATGCAGACAGATAACACATTTATTTATGGACAAAGACTGCATATATACTTTGGTTGTTAGGAAGAGAATTTATAAAAATGTGGATTTATTTATTTTTCACTGTCATCAATTTTTTCGTTTATCTAAGAAATATTGTATTATAGAGGATACCTGAATTCATTATAATAAGTATATAAAAAAATTGAACACTTAAATTTTGTGGTCCACTGATAACCAGAAAGTCTACTTTGATTAATACCCCACAGATACTGTTAATTCAGAAATTTTGTAATGTGTTTTTTAATGTAAAAATTCTTATGGAAATACTAGCATTTTAAGTTATGTTAGGATTTTTTGTATGCAGCATTTATTGAAATAATTAATCCTGCATTTTTGTTCACCCTAAAAAAAATCATCAATAGATGTATGCAATAAGTTGTGAATTTTCAGTAACAATGAATCCACAATACACTGTTAAATAATTTTGATCGAAATTATGTTAAAGTTTTACCTTTTTTGTTTAAACAATGAACTTGGTTGGTTGGAAAAATGTTTAGTCTTTTAAATTGCACAAAATTAGTAATGGAAAAAACCCAAGTGAAGTTGAGGATAGTGATCCAGGATTTTTTTATTTTATGACATAACACTGCTGATTTGTAAACCAGATACCTTGCATTGGTTGTTACTGTTTTATATCTCTCAATATATGTTAGCTGACCGGTACATTTCAACAGCATAATAGCAGCTTTCCTTTTGTGTAATCATGTCATTCCTTCTTATACTATATTCATAATTTGAATTAATTGTCAAAATATAATCTAACAGTCCAATCATTTACTGTTGATTTGTAAGCTAAATTATCTCATAAGCTGTAGGATATTTTGTCATTCATGATGCAATAATCTGTATTACCATATAAGTAAACGTATATAAAACAACCTATTGTGATACCACAAACTATTATAATATGCAAAATAAAAGATAATTGCATTAAAAAAAGCACAAATATCACATTTCATTTTATGCCCCACCTGAGATAATAGGAGCATTATATGTTAAAATATGTGTGTCTATCTGTTTTTCCATTCCGTATCTGATTTAAGTTTTGGTGTAAAGTAGTTTATCATGAAGTTGAGGTTTAATCAACTTAAAGTTAGTGCACATGATCATTATGATAAAAAATGTATTGACAAAAATACCAAACTCCAAGATAAATTCATAAAGGGGAAGTAAACATGACAACTTCAAGCACTCTATTCTATCAACCAATGAAACGACTGGGAAAAAAACTGTTATATTCCTGTTTTTTTTGTTTTTCCATGCTATCAATCAAAATATTTTTTTTTTAAATTTAACACTATAGGGTATGGGGAAAATTTGGATTCAGAATATTTTTTTTTGTCATCTGCTTAACCACAACATTTTTTTTCATCAAATTGAGGATCAGAATATTTTTTTAGGAAAAAATCAATAATCCCCCCCCCCCCCCCCCCCCCCCTTGAAGTTAAATGGTCATTCCCTAAGGGTTTTGACGAAGTTTTCAGAATTCACTGATCAGGTGTATATAGGGTTTTGGTTAAATGTAGTTTACAATGAAGTTGTGGCCATATCATCTTGAAACTTAGTATACATGTAAATTATGAAGTGCACTTTTTATGTCTAACTTTGACCCAGATTTTGCTGTTAATTGACCAGGTTTAAGTTTGGTTTAAGGTATTTTACCATGAAGTTGTGGCCACATCAACTTGTTACTCAGTACACATGTTTGTTATGTGTAAAATATATGACAAATTGAATCTAGATTTTGCAGTCAACTGTACATGGAAATGTGAAGGTTTATCCTGTAGTCCTTGTCAACAATTTCCCTTCATTTGTTAAAAAATGACCAAATAGTTGAGGAAACAAATGTCTTTGATAAATTGTAAAGAGTTGCAGGATAAAAATAATATGTTAAAATGTCAGATGATATAAAACATATTTGTGTATGTTTACGAATAGAAGAGAAAACCTGAACAAACTTTTTCTTTTTTTCTTGAGGAAAAATTATTGTTTTATTTCATTGTTCTATCAAATTCTTTTTTGAAATCCTACTGGACATATGCATTTTGTTAAACAGTTTATTTTGTATAAAATTAAGGAGATATGGTATGATTTGTAGTTTCACACAAAGGATAATGAATTCGAATAATCAGTAAATAAAACATTTAAATTATTCAAGCTTTTATGAACTTCAGACTATATAAATAAACTCATCATGTATATCATGATTAAAACTCTGTATGCCAGACTTGCTTTTCATCTACTACAAAAGACTCATCAGTGACTCTTGAATATAAAAAAAGTTAAAAATGGCTAAATATAGTACGAAGTTGAAGAGCATTGAGGAACCAAAATTCCCAAATGTTTTGCCAATTACAGCTAAGGTGCGGTAATCTATTCCTGGGGTAGAAAAATCCTTAGTATTTTCAAAAAATTCAAATTGGGTAAACAGTTAATTTATAATTATGACCATATCAATGATAATTCATGTCAACACTGAAGTGCTGACTACTGGACTGGTAATACCCTCGGGGATGAAACCTCCTCCAGCAGTGACATCACCCAATGGTTGTAAATAAACTCATATAAAGCTTGACATACTGTATACACGTCTGTCTACTGTTGACAATCTGATTGGACAAGAAGAAAAGAAAGGATTGTTGAACTTTTTCCTCTTCTGTTCTGATTGGTTAAAAAGATTTCATATAAACAAATAACTAGTTAAATGTGTTTTCTAAAACTTCATCAATCATATGTATTCTTATGGGCATTAAGATGGTTATGGCAGTGTGCTGTTTAACATATGTTCCTAAATACTTACTTGAATTCCAGGACTATTTATTTATCATTTTAATCATTGTTACAATATTACACAATTTTAATAAATTATGTAGATTATATTGTTTTTTTTCATCTGCCAAATTGTCCTGCTGCTGCATGAGTATGTAAATATAAAACTGTAGGTTAGAAATGTACATATAAAAAACCATGTGTAAGAAATGTACATATCATATTATCTAAATTCTATAGCTAGCTTCTTATTCTTAAGGAAAATTCTTGTCAATTTTACTTACTAAAGTAATGTTTATAATGTATATTTCACTACTTGGAATTTCCGTTTTGAATTTTCCTTGGAGTTCGGTATTTTTGTTATTTTACTTTTTAAAGTCATGGAAATAGTAACATTGTTATAACTGATCATATATGATTGATGGGATTGCTTATAAACATACAGTGTTAATTGGGGGTTCACTTTCATATATTATAAGGGATAATCCTGAATAATTGCAATTAGGTATGTTTACATTTTTAAAAAGACCATTAATGAATTTTTTTACACTTTCAAGGTTTATTGATATTTTATTTATGAAATAATTCTTTTGTGTCCTGCTTTATACTCAGTTTAATAGGTGGACATTATATTTATTAATATATTCATACTAAGTATAAGCCAGGTGTAAGTTATCGACAGGTATAACGGATATCCATTATAAAACTAGCATAAAGAGAAGGACATGAAAGAATTATTGTGATTCTTATAGGAAAATTCTGAATATTTGTTTCATTTGAGGTGGACCTAATGTTATAACACACATTTGAAAGTCCGCTATTTTTCTTTGATATAACGACAAGGTTCTAAAATAACTAAGTGTTTCAGGATTGAAAGTGTGCCTAGATTTACTTTTGAAAGTGTACAAATCTAAAGATTTACTTTTGAAAGATTTTATTGAATTTCATGGTGTGCAACTCCCCAGAAGTATTTTCAAGTCAAGTTTGATCTCTAGCATCCTTTAAAATATAACTGAGGTTGCAAATATGATAAGGTCAAGCACATATACCTCATAATTCGTAAGAATTGGAACATGGCTTTGTCTATAAAGCAAAGAAGAACTTTATATTAAAATTGGCTGTATAATACATCCAAATGGGTTTAGCTTTCAGTAAATCAATTCAATTTACAATACAAACGAGAGCAGCACAAACAGAACATTTTTAAATCTATAAGTGAGACATTTACAAAAATGAAACTAATAGCTGACTTGTTTTTATGCCCCACTTAGGGGCATTATGTTTTTCGGTCTGTGCGTCTGTTCGTACGTTCGTCCGTCTGTCCCGCTTCAGGTTAAAGTTTTGGTCAAGGTAGTTTTTGATGAAGTTGAAGTCCAATCAACTTGAAACTTAGTACACATGTTTCCTATGATATGATCTTTCTAATTTTAATGCCAAATTAGAGTTTTGCCCCCAATTTCACGGTCCACTGAACATATAAAATATGATACTGTCCCGCTTCACGTTTAAGTTTTTGGTCAAGGTAGTTTTTGATGAAGTTGAAGTCCAATCAACTTGAAACTTAGTACACATGTTCCCTATGATACGATCTTTCTAATTTTAATGCCAAACTAGAGTTTTTACCCCAATTTTACGGTCTACTGAACATAGAAAATGATAGTGCGAGTGGGGCATCCGTATACTATGGACTCATTCTTGTTTACAATAACATGATGGCCATTTTAACCCATTGATTTATATGTGCCAGATTGAATCTTTCTACCGTGTAATTCTTTGACAAGAAAATATTTTCAAATGAAAAGAATTGCTGGAACCGAGAATGTAAGGTTTAACAAAGTGTTCATTCACTTCAGTTTCAGATGCAGGGATGATATAAATCACATGATATTATTTGAGGCAAAGTAAACAAAAATGGCGATACATTTAAACAATTACCCAATGCCAGAATAATGAGAAATGCATTTAGCCTAGACTTATTGCTGATATCAAACACAAAAAGAAAGTTTGCAGTACTAGCATATTACACATGTAAGAGAGTGTTTAGTAAAGAGGGACATTTGTACCAAGTCAGGAATATGACAGTTGTTCTCCATTCGTTTGATGTGTTTTATCATTTGATTTTGCCATTTTATTATTTACTTTCCGTTTTGAATTTTCCTCGGAGTTCAGTATTTATTTGATTTTATTTTTTACAACCCTTCACAACTTAAATAAAATTTGAAATATGAAAGTCACAAAAACATTTGATTGCTTTTTTATTAATCTCGTTTACTACATAGTCATGAAGGCAAGACAATCGTGATCATGTAGGCCGTCGTCTTAATCGTCGGTGTTGTCAATATTTAGTTTCAGTTTTTGTCTCGCCTGCGACTAAAGTCGCGTAAAGCGAGACATATCAACAATCGTTTAGTTTTCTGCTTAAGTTAGTTTGATAGCCTACTTGTGATATATCATTGATATTTAATATAAAGTTGCATTACTATCAGTTTGACGACTATTATTAGGTCCTGTCCCCCTGCTACCTAGGTCATGTATCAGTGACTTTGAATTAGTTAGCAATTTTCAATGTTAAGTTTTCTGTTCAAGTTAGTTTGAAAGGAGCTACCCGTGATAGATCATAGATATTTTGTATGAAGTCGCATTACTATCAGTACATGTCTGTTTGACGACTATTTTGAGGCCCTGCCCACCTAGGTCATAGTCCAGTGATTTTGAATTAGTTAATAATTTTCAATATTAAGTTTTCTGCTTAGTTAGTTTGATAGGATCTACATGTGATATATCAATGATAATTTGTATGAAGTTGCATTACTATCAGTTCATATCAGTTTGACGACTATTTGGAGGTCCTGCCCCATAGGTCATGGTCCAGCCACTTTCAATTAATTGGCAATTTTTAATTTGAAGTTTTCTGCTTAAGTCAGTTTGATAAGAACTACTTGTGATAGATCAGTGATATTTTGTATAAAGTTGCATTACTATCAGTTCATATCAGTTTGACAACTATTTTGAGGCCCTGCCCCTAGGACATGGTCCAGTAACTTTGAATTAATTAGAAATTTTCAATGTTAAGTTTTCTGCTTAAGTTAGATTGATAGGAACTGCTTACAATAGACAACGATATTTTCTATAAAGTTACATTATTGTCTTTACATCTCAGTTTGTCGACAATTTTCAGGCCCTGCCCACTAGATCATCGTCCAGCATCTGAATTTAATAAGCAATATTTCTGTCCATCAGATTGTCTATTTCCTAATTGTATGCCAACAGGCGAGACATATCTCGGTGTCAACAGTTTATTGGTTTAGTTTTTGAACATCAATATTAAAATTTTTCATACCTTCATGAAAATTTACAAAAGTTGGACAAAACTTTCTTCGTGATCAATATAACCTAAAATCGTTGTAGAATGAGGAATATTTAATACCTTTGAAAGACCAAATTCGAAACATTCATCTTAACTTCATTGTTTTACACACTATGTTTATGACTGCCCTATGAAAAAATCCTAATATATAATGTTTTTTTTTATTTTTCGTTTTTACTGATATAAAAGTAACTTAGTTTTTAGTTACACTCAAATTTAGATTCTGTACTATCTATCTATATATAGCTAGGTTCAAAGTTTTGTTTATTCATCAATGTCTTTTGTCAAACCTTCCGATTATATTTCTAAAAGCTTCCACACAAATTTCTTCATAAAAGCGATAGCTCCCTGAGCAATTTTTCAGTTTATTTTTTTATCATTCTTTTCTGTATTTCACTGATCAATAAACCGTATTTTTGAAAGTATTCTGTAAACTTTTCTAATTTGCCTATTTATAAAAATGATATTCACCATCAATTGTATTGCAATCTTTGTTGTAGAGTATATTTTTGTAATAAGTAGTTTCTCTTATCATGCAATGATTGCTTTTCTGAAATTTTTGTTAATATTTTACCAAAAAGATATTTTTCTTGTTATATTTGTGTTGTACTGGAAATTTAGAAATGTTTGCAAAGTTATTGTTATTGCGAAAAAATAGACGGGATAGCTAGGTTTTGTGAAAAAAAAAACCAAAAACACGTAGTAGTATTTTAAATTATAATAACATTACTTGCATGCTATAATTTTTGAAATAGCTCGTATTTCTGTCCATTGTCCAGTAATCGCAATATTAAAGACAAACAAACATTCAGGAATTTACAATATTCATATCTACCTATATTGTACCCTGAAAAACAATGCTTCGAAGAGAATGATTATGATAACTCAAAGGAGTAAATTTGAAATTGCTCATGCATCTTGCTTCTGAAGTACAATAGATAGCCCTAATCCATGAAAGTGGTCCAGAGTGCTTTCTATGAACCTTGTATACATATCAGCGGGAAACCACTACAAACCAAAAAATAAGTACAACGATTTTTACATCACGATGACCGTGAGGGCATTCCAATGTATTGTTGCCGACGAGATTTCTACTTACCGTGGCGTAACTTTCATGTCTGACTGGTAACCGATCTATAAATACGCGGACATTATCGAGTTCAAAATAACATTCCTTATCGCTTGTTATGAATTCATGTCTTAAATGAATACTCGTAAAATATTTTTGTTTAAAACATAAATTAATGATATGAAAATGTTTTGTCATTAGAAATATATATATAAGTAAAAAAACATTGATAATATCTATGCACACGTACAGAAAAATTGTGTTAACGCATGCGGAAGAATATCTCAAGAACGTTTTGCGGGAAAATATGAATGCCTGCTCAAATCCAATTTTTTAGAAAAATCATATTATTACAGAAGAGTGTCCACCATGCACTTGCACTGCACTATTATTAGAATAGTAAAATAGAATGATATACAAATGGATGAAAATTATATTTTATACATGTAACTGTTATATACAAACATTAATATAATATATAACAACAAAACCAGAGTATACTGATTTGTATCACTACAATATAATAGTTATTACGGTGACGTTGATTTCCCTGTCATTTATTCATTATCCACGCACGAACTTGTCTCAGAAAAAAATATATCTATGTACATTAACCTCACTTTCAGGTATACAGATGTGAATTCTTTTCTGAGACAAGTGCTTGTGACCATT